AGACTAAATCATAAAAGTTGAGAGGAGGGTTAGTTCAGCGACAGAGATGAAGGTGGTAGGAGGGTTTTGCCCCAACATAGCCACCCCTGTGCTATACCAGTCAGCCCCAACACTGGCGAGAGTAGTTTAATCTGATGGTTAACATCGGTGAGAGAGGTGGAGGGAGAGGAGTTTAGCTGATGGTTAACATCGGTGAGAGAGGTAGAGGGGGAGGGGTGTAGACGATGGTTAACATCGGTGAGAGGTTAGAGGGAGAGGAGTGTATCCGATGGTAAGCATCGGTGAGATGGTGAGAGAGGTAGAGGGAGGAGTGGTATTATCTGATGGTTAAAAGAGTGAAGGGTGTTAGGGTGCTGGAGAGGGATTATATAAGAAGGGTTGGGGCTGGGCTGGTGGAATTTGGGCTGTCTGATGGGTATGGGTGTTGGACGGGTGGGCTTTTTTAATTTCCGAAAATGGGCTGGGTTATGGGCTGGATTAGGTTAAAAAAAATAATCTAATCTATTATGCATTGGTAGTTGGTTGGAATGAGATGAAAAAAACAAATTGATCTGAATTTTATCTAATTTTTGGGTTAATTATTTTTTTAAATTACATAACGTATAATTTATATGCCAAATAATGATAATAAACAAATGAATAAATTCAAGACCACATTCTTCAAAAGCAGAGACTGAAAATATTGTGTTTACAACATTAACAAAAATAGATTTTCGGGAAAACTATCAAATGAGCACCTTAACTATTCAAAAAAATCAATTAGGCCCCCTCACTATGAATCCGAACAATCAAACCCTATAACTATTAAAAAAGAGGCAAATCATCTTTTTAAGCGGTACCCTCCCAGTTCCCGGTCAGACTGCGTACGTACATGGCGTGTGAGTTGGTTTTTTTTATACGCAATAAAATCACTACCTTGGTTTAGTCTTATATATAAAAAAATCTATTTTATTGGTAGAATGTAATTGACAACATCTTAGTGTTTAATTGCATTTGTGAACAGAAAATGTTGGCCAAAATGTTCAAAAACGTCTGTTGCCTAATCACAAGATGTCATCTGATGTTTTCATGGACAGAACTAATGGTACTTCTTACTTTAATCATTATAATTTTAAAATATTAATTATGAATTGTACGATGATATGTATAGTGAAACGATGCTGATTTCAAACTATTTGTATTTACATCTACAGTTTCGCATTTGCCATTTAATCGTTCTTGGACCTACAGGACAATTAATGTCAATAACGTAGAACAATCTTTAGATGCGTGTCTTCCCGATAACCAGCGCATGTGTGACGAAGTACCAACACATATAGAGGATGAACTTCCATCACAATCACATCAAGTTGAAGGTGCGATTGTTATAACTATTAGGTAGCCAATCAAGTTTTTTATGGTTGTGAAGTCATGCATTTTCTTTATGTTCACTTATAATCGATAATAGATGAAGGATATAATAAGCCCTATGTATTACGATTATGAGTAAATCTATAAATTCATATAAACTATGTGACTTAGTAGTTACTTTTTAATGCAATAGTATTTATACATATATACATTATTGAGATAATTTGATGGTCTGATCAACTATCCAAATAAGTGATCTTTTACTAGACATAACCCACGGTACAAAAATACTACCTATTTTATCCTAATCTTAATCTTTCTCAAAACACATCATTTGTTTGGATATTTAGAAAATTTTAATATGTCATATCAAATTACTAAGTTTAATACATCCTAATAATTTCATTAACAAAAATTATGTAATAATTATTACCTTTATGGACATCAAACAATGATCCACATGTGTTATAACTATTGTCTTTTTAGATGAGTTTTTTCTTTTTATAGTGATGTCGTTGACCACTTCATTTAATTTTTTTAAAGTACTTTGTTAACCTAAGTATATAATTTGAAGCCAAATTAAAGTACTTTGTATGTACTTCGTTAATATATATTTTTAAAGTACTAGGTCGATTATTTGTTGTAGTAGAAATAATTAAATTTTTAATATGTATTATCAAATTACCAAATTTAATACATCCAATATAACTTATGGTTATTCGAAATATGTGTGAAGTAATGTACCTTCTTTACGTTAATCCATACTAAGGTTACTTAATAACTTCTTCTAGACACAGTATGTGCTGAATATTGTGACATTGGCGACCCATCTCATAACTGTCCGCATTGTGGAGCACTCTTCTGGTTTGAAGAGAGAACACTTCGAAGTCCTACAAAAACCAACCTGATAGAGTATATGGCCCGGGAACCCCCGGCCCACAGATTCCTACTACTCCAGCGAAGGCCCAGCAGGCCCAACAGGCCCAAATCACAGCGCCCAAAGTACCAAACAGCCCGCACTACGCGCCAGGGGTGCCTTCGGCCCCCTGGCCGAAGTCTCTAAACTCTCACAGAACGGGTTTCTCAAGCAAACTAAGAAACTGGTAGAAAACGGCAAAAACAGTAGCCCTCGGCACTGTGAGCCCTCGGCACCAGGGTGCCATCGGTTGGAGGAGCCCTCGGCTACTGCTCTATAGCCGAAGGCATCTCACTCGACAAGATATCCGCCTCACATGCGTACAGATCACCGTACCCCGCACAGACGTCCCATCCAACAGCCGCATTAAATGCGTCCACATGCGGCTGCCAGCGCCAACCAGTTGAGGTGACCCCTCGGCCAATGAGGGCTTGACACGTGTCCCTGCCCGGCATTTATTGCTACTATAAATAGCACCCCATTTCCCCATTTGTAACCACGCTTGATACATATCGAATATACACTCTTTCTCTTACTTGTTTGCTCTGATTTCTCTCTAAGTTTGGTGCTCTCGTTGAGAGGTTTGAACACAATAAAGTGAGAAAACCTTCCCAAAAACAACAAAAAATTCACCCCAAAAAAAAGGTCTGGATATCAGCAAAAAGAAGAAAAATTCTGTAATTTTGATCTGGGAGAGCTCCAGATCTACCACCGGCAGCACCAAACCTGGGCGCCTGGCGGTCCAACTGACCAAGTTCACCGTCGGAAGAGGATATTCAAGTTCGCCGTTGTAGCCACACCGGACCACGCTGCCACCGCTTTTGCAGACCTTACCGCAACCAGAACGCTGGAGACGGCCAATCCGGGTGACCTCACAAACCCAGCTCCTCAACCCATCCGCAGCAGAAAGGAAGGATTGAAAAATTTCAGATCTAGAATACGTTGGGTCTCGGAGGAGGTGTCAGCGTGCATCGGCTGACGTTCTTCGCCGCAGGCCCAAGTCAGGCGGCCGCTGGCCCATTGCATCGGATCTCTGGCCGCAGCTCTGTACATAGGTCGCAGGTCGGACGCCTTTAGCGGCAGACCTCGCTACCTCCCCAGCCCGCAGACCGGACCTCCGACCCCGTCGCCGCTCAACTTCGAGCCAGGTGAGTCTCCACCATTAATGGTGGCTTGGAGCTATATAAATGTGTATTTGAAGTTCAGCCGGTCTTCCACCTTAGGCTAGACCCCGTGGTCGTCCTTGCACCATGGCAACCTCCCTGACCACTGCTAGCAAGCGGCTAGCAAGCAGCCACCAAGCGGTCAGCAAGCCGGTTTGTCCTTTGCTTGGCCAACGGGTCTTTCATACGGAGGTAGTATGTCTTTCCAAAGGATACTCCATATATAATTCCTTGGTTCTCAGAGGGCCACGTTTGTAGAGATGCCAAGAGCCTCCCATGCTCTTGGTCGGATAGATGAGGGACCTCCATGATTTGACCGGTCAATCAGACTCCCGTGCTCTTGGCCGAAGTCAGCCCACTTGAGAAAGATACGTATTTTTTTTAATTTTCATACTCCGTATTATTTATATTTATTTAAATCATTTCTTTTTGTCGGGTGAATGTCACACTGTCACGCACTTATGATCAAATGCCTAGTAGAGTGTGGTTTGAGACCCATCACTAGGATTTAAAGCCCTGACTCTCAGGCACAAAGCCCTGACTCCTCAGGCACAAAGCCCTGACTCTCAGGCATGAAGACCGATCTTAGTCATTCTAAGAGTGGCGACCGTTGCGTACGAATGGCTCACACCTCCACTCTACTAAGTATTTTATCATTACATCAACAATTCGCATTTTCACTTTTTTCAAGTGACGAACTCCCGATCGGAAACATAAACCCTAAAAACGAAAATTTTATATGCATGTTAAATGTGTAGGTACGAAGATGACTTTACTCATTTTTCTCCTCGTCTCCACTCAAGGAGTGGGGGACTGGGAGACTGAGAGGTCAGATTTTCTGGATGAGCGGTAAATATCACGCATGAGCAGGAACGAGAGCTAAGTCAGATGAAGACAGGTTGAACTAGACAAAAGTGATTATGCCGGAAGGGACCTACCTTCCTTGTTTCATGTTGGGGGCGTTAGGTGTACTCTTTTTCCCTTTATTACGATTTTTTCCCACTGGGTTTTTTCCTATTAAAGGTTTTTAACGAGGCACCTCCCCATCATTGACAAGGGTGGCGGTCCCCCGACCAAAGAGGAAGAAATCAAAGACAGAAGAACGTTGCAGATACACTTTGGACTACTCCCTTTCACCTCGAGTACTCTCGACTCAGGGAGTGGGGGACTCCTGATGGAGTATATGGACTCTGACCCCCCGGTCTGCCGACTACTAGGCCTGGACAGCGGCCCACACACACGTTTAGCGGATATCATTCATATTATTGTACATTATTATTATTCAGATGTTCTAGATTAGTTTTTTGTACTATATGCCCATTTATGTAACCGGGTCTGTCAGGCCCATATTAAAAGCCCAGACCCGGATTTTCCCTATATATATACTCCTTATAGGAGGCTATTGAACGACAACCAATATTGATTCATACACAATACTTCTTCTCTTCTCCATATTCTTTATTCAATCTCTCCTAGTTCATCCATGATTCATTTGGTGCTCTCGTTGAGAGGTTGAACAATCGAGTAAGAAACCCTCCCCCTCGACCAAACACTAAACACTAGCCCTCTATCAAAATGGTGAGGACAACACGTGCCAACTCAAAGAACGTAGAAGACAAGAACCTGGCCCTCGGCGACGTCAACGCCCCCGAAGCCTCTCACAGGGCTCCCGAGGGCGGTGTCATCGCTGGGCTGGAACAGGCGGCTGTCGACCTACGCCTTCAGATCCAACAAAATGCCCCCGATGCCCGCCTCGGCATCGAGGCCAAGAAGAAAAACCGGAGCGATGACCAAGTCAGCCCTCCGGTTCTCACCATCGACGTACAATCGGCGCTCTCCGCCTTCATCCAGACGCTCACCCAGAACCCGGGTGCCTTCGGCACCCTGGCTCCAGCTCACCCTCAGATCGGGGAAAATATCATACTTCCCCCTCTGCCACACCCCTTCGGAAATCCCACCCCTCGGGTGAGAAACGACGAAGGGGTGGTGGCCCAAGAAACATCCTCCCAGGAAGTTCAGTCCCGGGACCGCCATAATGACAACAGGGAGAGGCCCCGTACTTCCGCCCTCAACCGGCTCGGAGGAGGGCCAGACCGCCGAGGGGTCCAAGACCGCCTCGGGGGGAAAGCACTCCAAAGGCCCCAGGAAAGCGGGGGATCTGTTTCGAGGGCAGACGAGGAGCGTCCCCCTCGGGACAAAAGCAAGGCACCCCTTCATGCCGATGATGCTCGGCACCAAATCAACCAGGCCCACTCGGCCCGGGTTCGTTCGCAGGGGGCGGAGACCCTCCCGAGGGACCCCCGGGACGAGATTATTGCGGCCCTCCAACGCCGGCTTGACGAGATGGAGTCCAACAAAGCTCACGCCACCACCTCCACCCCTCACTCAGACCTCAAATACGAGGCCATGATGGCCAAAATGGAGGAATTACAGAAGAAGGTGGCCGAGGGCTCCGGGGAACCCGTCATCCAGCTCCGGACTCGGACGCCATTTACCCCAAGGGTATTGGCGGCCCGGATCCCAGAAAAATACCGAGGGCAACACATACAGCCCTACAGCGGGAAAACGGACCCCCAGGAACATTACAGCAAGTACCAGAACAGCATGATGATGGTGGGGGCGTCAGACGAATATTTGTGTCATTGGTTCCTCTCCACCTTAGAGGGACCAGCATACGAATGGTTCAACAGGTTGCCCGAGGGCTGCATTGATTCGTGGCAAGAACTCGCCCAGCGATTCTTGACACAATTTGCCGGGAGACGTCGCACAAGGAAGCACTTCTCCCACCTCCTAACAATACGCCAAAAGAAGGATGAGACCCTTCGGGATTTCCTAGAGCGCTGGAGGACGGAGGCCGACAAGGTCGACGGTGCTGATGACGGGACCCTCCTGGCCCTCCTACAAACCGTCCTCCGCACCGGCAACTTTTCCAGGAGCCTCATCATTGAACCCCCCCCCCCCCCCCCCCGCGACTACATAAGGGCCTTGCAGCGGGGGGACCGGTATGCTGAGGCCGAGGAGGTGGAGAAGTATCACCAACACCCGGACCAGCAGCCCCCGAGGGCTGACAACAAGCATAACCGAGGGCCGGGGGCTCCTAAAAATCACCCCAAGACTTCAGGATCCTCCGATGACCGCCCTCGGCAAGGCCAAGCCAAGCCCGGGGGAGGTTATAAGAGCAACCCTAAGACTTGGGCCCAGCCCATTCTCCTGGACCGCCCTCGGACACCATTGACGCACCCCGTCAGCATCATCCTCGATTTTGCCGAGGAGAGGGGCCTCGTGGAGCGCGACTCTCGCGCACCCCCGGAGGTACACGCTATCAACCCTCAGTTCCCCTACTGTCGCTTCCATCGGCACCAGGGGCACATGACCGATGACTGCCATCAGCTTAAGACGGCCATCGAGAGATTAATACAGGCAGGGCACCTGTCCCAGTTTGTCCAGAGCCCTCGGCAGGAGGGACCTTCTCATCAGGGGCCTCCCCGAGGGCATCACACAAAGGTGAACGCTTGGGTAAACCCGAACACCATCCCCCTCGGCAAGAAAAGGGAGATTGGAAACTTGGAAAAAGAGGAGGAGGAATACCCCCACCACCAGGAGAAATAACGCCACATCCTCATGATCACCGGTGGCAACACAGGGGGCGATTCCACCAGCCAGCGAAAGAAGTGGGCTCAATCGCTTTACGTAGGGGAAGTCACTCATATGCCCTCGGTAAAGCGATTGAGGGAGGAACCCATCACCTTCACCAACGCAGATCTCCCTCCTACTTCTTCTCCTCACAGGGATGCCTTGGTGATTCGAACGGAGATCAACGACACCATCATTCACCGAACTTACGTTGACACGGGCAGCTCCGTCAATGTAATGTACCTCAGCACCTTCAGAGAGCTGCATCTGGAGAGGGGGTCCCTTCGGCCCATTAAGACCCCTCTTGCCGGCTTCACCGGCGACACTATTGATTCCGAGGGGGTAATAACCCTCCCGGTGATCTTCGGCGACGGGCTCCATAGAGCCCAGCTCGAGGTGGAGTTCGTCGTCGTCAACATTGACTGCGCCCACAACATCATCCTCGGCCGGCCAGCCCTCGAGGACCTCGAAGCCATCATCTCCATGAGGCATCTCTGCCTCAAGTTTCCCGCCGAGGGGGGCATTGGCTACTCCCGGGGGAACCAAAAAATTGCCCGCGCCTGCTATCTTCAGGTCACTAAGAAGGTAAGCAAGACGGAATTCCGTGTTGACACCATCACCGGAGCCGTCGACCAAGAGGAAAGAAGGCCGAGGGCTGAACCGGCCGAGGACGTAGAAGACTTTGCGCTCGATCCGGCCCAGCCGGAGAGAGTCGTGAAGATTGGAGCCCAGCTCCCTGAAGATTTGAAGACCGGTATCACCGACGCCCTCCGCGCCTACTCCAATGTCTTTGCATGGGGGCCGGAGGACATGCCGGGAATCAGCCGAAGGGTCATCACCCACCGCCTCTCGGTGGACCCCTCGGCAAAAGCAGTACAACAACGAAGGAGACCCCTCTCCGCCGAGAGGAGGGAATTCGTGAAGAAGGAGGTCGCCATGCTCCTCTCCATTAAACACATCAGGGAGGTGAAATATCCCTCATGGCTGGCGAATGTAGTCCTCGCACAGAAGCCCCCTACCTTCCGCATGTGCGTGGACTACACCGATCTCAACAAAGCATGCCCTATGGATCCATTCCCTCTACCAAACATTGATCAATTGGTGGATGAGACCGCGGGATGTGAGATCATGTCCTTCCTCGATGCCTTCCGAGGGTACCATCAAATTTTCATGCACGAGGAGGACGCCGAAAAAACTGCCTTCATGACTCCCGAGGGCATCTTCTGCTACCTAGTGATGGCCTTCGGCCTAAAGAACTCGGGGGCCACTTACACCCGGATGGTGGCTCGGGTCTTTCAAGTTGTCCTAGGGCGCACCATGGAGGCCTATGTCGACGACATGATCGTCAAGAGCAAACAATCTTCCAGCCATGCTGACGACCTCCGGGAAATCTTCGCCATCATGCAAAAATTCAACCTTCGGCTAAACCCGAAGAAGTGCACCTTTGGCGTCCAAGGGGGCAAATTCTTGGGCTACATGGTGAGCCGTAGGGGTATTGAGGCCAATCCCGAGAAGATCCAGGCCATCATCAACATGGAGCCCCCACGCAACGTGAAGGAAGTTCAACGGTTGACGGGCCGCCTGGCAGCCCTCAACCGCTTTCTATCTAAATCGGCGGAGAAGTCTCTACCCTTCTTCCAGATCATGAGGAAGACGGCTGGCTTTCTATGGACTCCAGAATGCTAGGGGGCTTTCGACGAGCTCAAAAGATATCTATCTTCACCTCCTGTGCTCTCCAAACCCAAGGTAGGGGAGACCCTCTACCTCTACCTTGGGGTTAGACCGGCGGCCATCAGCTCTGTGCTCATCCGGGAGGAAGACGGCATCCAACATGCCATCTTCTACGTTAGCAAGACCCTAAGGGAGGCCGAGCTCAGGTACTCCCCTGTGGAAAAAACGGTGTTGGCCATCGTTTGGACTGTCAAGAAGTTGGGCCACTACTTTCAGGCTCACCCGGTTCAGGTCCTCACCCATCAACCCCTCGGCGCCCTCATGAGGAGCCCCACCAGCTCCTCCCGCATGGTGAAATGGGCTATCTTCTTGAGCCAGTACAACATTGACATCCGCCCAAGGCCTGCCATCAAGGGCCAAGCCCTGGCGGACTTTGTGACGGAGTGTACCACAAGGGCAGCCACGGACGGGGAGCCCTCGGCTACCTCGGACGACTGGTGGACCCTCTACACTGATGGCTCCTCCGCGACCAAAGCATGCGGGGGAGGGGTAGTCCTCATTACTCCCGAGGGCTTCAGGGCCTACTATGCAATCCGCTTCTCCTTCAAAGTCTCCAACAATGAGGCCGAATATGAGGCCCTCCTATGTGGCCTTCGGCTGGCTGCCAACATGAGGGCTCGGCAGATCCACATCAAATGCGACTCCAAGTTGGTCGTTGGCCAAATCTCCGAAGAATATGAGGCCAAGGAGGGGAGAATGAAACAGTACAAAGAAGCGGCCAAGGAGTTGCTTAAGGTATTTGAGGCACACTCTCTCACTCAAATACCGAGGGCTCAGAACTCCGAGGCCGACATATTGTCTAAGCTCTCGGCCGATTCCCCCGAGCACATCTCCAAAATTGCCAAAATCGAGGAACTCAGCCTCTCAAGTATCCATGCAAGCCCCGTTATGAATATACAACAACGTCAGGAGGATTGGATCTCCGATATCACCGCCTTCATCTCCACAGGGCAGCTACCCGAAAATGAGGCCGCGCTAAACTGGCAAAACTAAGGGCTCCCAGCTACACCATCGAAGATGGAAGGCTCTACAAACGATCTTACAATGGCACGCTACTTCGGTGCCTTCATCCAGATGAAGCCGAGGTCGCAATGGAGGAAGTGCACAGTGGCACTTGCTCAGCTCACCAGGGACCCTTCTCCATGTCCCGAAGGCTCATTCTCCAGGGCTACTTCTGGCCAACCATGGCCAGGGACTGTGCTGACCTTGCCCGGAGGTGCACCGCATGTCAACATTTCCAGAAAGCTCCCGGCAGGCCAGCGGTCAACTATGCCCCCATCAGCACCTCTGTCCCATTTTCCCGGTGGGGGATAGACCTTGTGGGCCCTCTGCCGAGGGGTACCTCCAACAACAGATACATCATTGTGGCCGTCGACTATTTTACCAAGTGGGTGGAGGCTGAACCCCTCGCCAGCATCACAGAGGCGAAGTGCCGTCACTTCGTCCTCAAGAACATCCTCACAAGGTTTGGCGTCCCCCAGCAGATCATCTCCGACAATGGGACACAATTTGAGGCAGCCCCCTTCTGTGCCCTTCTGGAGGCATGGGGCATCAAACACACCTTCTCCTCCGTTGCCTACCCTCAAGGCAACGGGCAAGTAGAGAACGCCAACCGGACCTTGCTCGAGGGCCTAAAAAAGAAGCTGGAGGCCGAGGGTGGTGGCTGGGTGGAAGAACTCCACAACATCCTTTGGGCCTATCGCACCACCCCTCGGCGAGCAACAGGTGAAACACCCTTCTCCCTCTGCTACGGTTTTGAAGCCAAAGCTCCTACGGAAGTCACCCTTCCTACCCGAAGGGTGATCCAATATGACCCCGAGGTCAACGACAGCAACATGGCCCTCGACCTCCACCTCATTTCAGAACGCCGGGAACAGGCCTTCATCCGGGCGGAAAACTACCGAAGGCAAGTTAAAAGCTACATCGACGCCAAAGTTCGCACCCGAGAATTTCAAGTGGGGGACTATGTCCTCCGGAGGAGGGAAGCCAGCCAACCAACCGAGGGAGGGAAAATGGCACCAAAATTCGAAGGCCCCTACATCATAGCAGCAATCATCAAACCCGGGACCTACAAGCTCAAACGCCCCAACGGGAAAGAAGTCCCTAGGCACTGGAATGTACACCACTTAATTAAATTTTATCAATAATGTAAGAGCGGCCAAGCCCTCATAACTAGTGAATGTACTATCCTATGGCCCAAGGCCTCCAATTTCGAAGAATGAAGATGCATTCAAGACATCAAGCCCTCATACTGACTACGGCCCCAGGCCTCACCACGAGAAGAACCCCCTCCGGCACCACGTGCCGAGGGCGGACACCATCAACACCTACAGCAAACAGCGAAAACACCACGTGTTTTCAGTCAAGACCCCTCGGTACTGAGTGCCGGAGGGGGTGAACCCCTATCACCAACAACAAGGAACACCATGTGTTTCATTTCCCTTCGGCACCCAGTGCCGAGGGTACATCCCCACCTTCAACATCAAAAAAGAAAAGATGAGAACACCAAGTGTTCCTACAGAAGACCCTTCGGCACCCAGTGACGAGGGTACATCCCCACCTTCAACATCAAAAAAGAAAAGATGAGAACACCAAGTGTTCCTACAGAAGACCCTTCGGCACCCAGTGCCGAGGGTACACCTCCATCATCGAACATCGAAACGAAGAGAAAAACACCAAAATATTTCAAAGAAGACCCCTCGGCACCCAGTGCCAGGGAGATGCTCTCCTATCAACTTCCAAACATCTATTGGGAAACACCAAGTGTTTCATTTGAAGACCATTCGGTACCAAGTACCGAGGGTAGACACCTCCATCAACTGCAACAAAGGAGAACACCAAGTGTTCCTACAGAAGACCCCTCGGTACCAAGTACCGGGGGCTACACATCGAAACTAACACCAAGTGTTGTTTCTAAAAGCCGTACCCCACGAGGACGCATATACCAAAGGCGCCACCATCGGTGCCGGCGGCACGTAGTGCCCCCGGCCATTTGCAACTAGTGTGCAAATGAAAACCCTTCCTTGAAACGCTTTCCGCGTCACTACCCCCAGGGTATGGCAGGCATGAGAAATGCCCAGGATTCGACTTTCAAAAACGGAACGCTATCCGCGTCATTACCCCCAGGGTATGACAGGCACGAGAAATGCCCAGGATTCGACTTTCAAACCGAAACGCTCCCCGCGCCACCACCCCAAGGGTGTGGCAGGCTACAGACTATGTCTAGCGCCGAGGGGACGACTTTCAAAAATGAGGCGCTTTCCGCGCCATCCCCCAAGGGGAGGCAGGTTACGGACCACCATATCTTGTGCCCAGGAAACGTCCCTCGATCCCCTCGGAACTCGGAAGGTTAACCCGAGGGAGGAGAGCCATTGGTGTATTCTGATGGTCTCCTAATAGGCCCAGCCTTACCAAGAAACCAAGTTTCTTGATGCCTTCCCTTCACCACCAACCAAAAAAAAAAAAAAGGGGGGGTGAAGGGGAGTAGACTCAGCGAGAAATCAAAGAGTACACTCCAACAATATCACAACATGCCGAGGGCTCCCCACGGGAACACCTCCGGTAATTGAAGACTCCTGTTTCCCGAAGGATACTACTCAAAGAAATATCATCAGGAAACGGCTAAGTCCACTACCTGGTCACCTCCGGTCACAAAAACACCGAAGGCTTCAACAATACAAAGGGACTGGACTATCCAAGGTCCACTAAACGGTACTTCAAACAAACACCGAAGGCATCTGTTATGCACAAATACCGAGGGCCCTTTCCCCATGACAAGGGTCAAATTCTACAACTTTTAAAGTGTATGCCGAGGGCACACACTCCTCATTGGCTTTCTTCACAACAACAGGATTCAACATCAATTCATGCTTAGAAAAATTCTAAGTCCTGAAGGAGCAGCCCCCGGACACCCGAAGGCTACACGAAGAAACAACACTTGAAAAATTCTAATACCTAAAGATTGGGCCCCCGGCCCAATCAATATTACAGCCAAGGGAATATGGTGGCCGAAGGCCATGCAATACAACAACACTTAAAAAAAAAAGTATTCTGTCCTAAATGAGTAGCCCCCGGGCATCTGCAAAGTGATGTGGAATCGGAGGGCAGCTATCACCCGAAGGCTCCCAAGGGAAAATTTACACTTAGGAGATTTTCTAAGTCCTACATGTTTTCCCCCCGGTCAACTACTCATACATCATGAAGGGATGCCATCTCCCGAAGGCTCCCAAGGGAAACTCCACACTTGAAAGATTTTCTAAGTCCTACATGTTTTTCCCTGGTCAACTACTCATACATCAAGGAGGTATGCCATCTCCCGAAGGCTCCCAAGGGAAAATCCACACTTGGAATATTTTCTAAGTCCTACATGTTTTCCCTGGTCAACTACTCATACATCAAAGAGGGATGCCATCTCCCGAAGGCTCCCAAGGGAAAACCCACACTTAGAAGATTTTCTAAGTCCTACATATTTTCCCCCCGGTCAACTACTCATACATCATGAAGGGATGCCATCTCTCGAAGGCTCCCAAGGGAAACTCTACACTTGGAAGATTTTCTAAGTCCTACATATTTCACCCTCATCTCAAGGGACCTAATTACCGAAGGTTACCTATCAATCGAGGGCTACAGTACACAAGGAATCAACACTCCAGAAAAAATTCTACACAGTAGCCGAAGGCTACATGACATACTACACTTGCAAAAATCTCTAAATCCTGTGCATTGGGCCCTCGGCCCAACATTCACACATCAGGAAGGGAGGCCATATCCCGAAGGCTCTCAAGGGGAAATCTACATTTAGAAATTTTTCTAAGTCCTAGGATTTGGATTACTGCAAACACCCGAAGGCCCTATGGTGTTCTACACTTAGAAAAATTTTCTAAGTCCTAATTGCTGCTGAACCCTCAGTTGCATATCCAGCAAAGGGTGCCCAACTACCGAAGGCTCCTAAGGGCTAGCTACAATCAGATAGTATTCTAAGTCCTAAGACATACATTCAAAGGAACAAACACATACATCCAAAAATGCCGAAGGCATACACTCAAGGAAAACGGAGGCATACATTCAAGAATAAAGGAATTGAAGGGAACAAGTCATATATACAAAGCCCGAAGGCGATCATTCAATCATAAAAAAAAAGCAAGTGTAATTGCGATGTTACTATTACAAACGGGCCGAAGCCGAAGGATCAATGTTGATTGTTACAAAAAATATTCAGACATTACAAATTATGAAGTCACTCTACAACTACCACAGCATCATTCACCGGGGCGCCCTCTGCAGCCGGCCTCGATGATGCCTCCGCTCCGGTCTCGACAGGGTCGTCCTCGGCCTCATTCTTCAACTCCGTGTCCTCAAGGTCGGGCCTCTGAACACCTTCCGGGAGCGACTCACGGACATCAGGCTGCAGGGGAGGAAGGCCATACGCCGAAGGGGAGAAGTCCTTTTGCTCAATGCCCAAATGCCGGGCCATCCTCCGGTAGATGAGGGCCTGGGTGAAGAATTCGCCGGCTTCATAGTACTCTCTGCCCTTCCGGGCCATCCATTCCCACCCAGGGCCCTCGGCCCATTCTTCAACGCATGCCTCCACGACCGAGGACACCCACATCTTGCGCCCCTCGGCTTTCCAACCCTCGGCGACAAAGGCCTCAACGGCCTCCTCCTGAGCCTTGGCGACGGCTAGCGCTTTGGAGTCCTCGACCTCTTTAGCAGCGGCCTCAGCAGCGGCCTCAGCATCAACCTTGCCTTTCTCTGCAGCCTCCAATTTCAAGCTCATCTGTCGGAGCTCCTCTTCTAGCTGGGCCCCCAGCTTCACCGCCTCTTGGTTCTTGAGGAGGCACTCCCTCATTCTGGCGTCTTGCTCCGCTTTGTGGAGGCGCCATTCTTGAAGCCTCCGAGCCTGTTCGCCGAGGGCTAAGCAAGCCTGCAGAACAACAACAAAAACAGTTAAAGGCAATCACACAAAATAATCAAAGGAGAAGATGGAGAAAGCCAGGTAAACACTTACAGAGAGGGAGGAGCGGAGAATGTGGTCCTCGAGGGCCGCATCATTATAGGCCCCGAGGGCAGCCCTATCCGTCTCAGGGGTCATACCCCTCAGGATGGCCCCCGGGTCGACAGCGCCGCTGGCCAAAGATGTACCCCTCGGGAACGCGACTTGGAGGATCTCAGGCAGCAACTCCTCTGCCCCCGCCGGCGTTCCACCCGGCAGCTTCTCCACCTGCACCCCGGAGGCGGGGTGCTCATCAGCGATAATGACCGGGGGCTCCTTCTCGGCGACATCCCCCTTCTTCGGCTTTTTGGTAGCCGGGGGGGACCCCTTGGTCACTGCCTTCCTCTTGCCGGCAGCATCGCCCTCGGCTTTCTTAAAGAGGGCAGTGGCGGGCTTCTGGATGCCCTGTCCCGACCCCTTCGGGTCCTGTTTCTTCAAACGAGCAAGCCCCTTTACGTTCACCATGGACACGGGGACTCCTGCAAAAATACGAGAAAGGATTAGGCCGAAGGGTCTAACCGAAGGGACAAAGACATCCAAGCAAAAAAAAAAACTAAGTACAACGAGTCTAAAGCCCTCGGCTCCTACCTCCGGAGGCTCCCTCAAACACTGGGAACTTCTCATCAGTTTCCCCCAGGAACCGGTACCGCCGGAACCTGAGGGTGTAGAGATCTGCTTCTTTGGTGCAGTCCTTGATGGAGATATTCTTGTCCCTGCCCTCCGGGATCATGGCCAGAATCCTGCCATCTTTCTCGAGGGCGGCGCTCCTCCTCTTCTCATGCCTCCTGAAGCGGTCACGCAGCTCCCTCGGGAAGGGACTCTCGGCTAGCTTCACATAGCACCACCGGTCCTTCCACCCCCTGTTTGAGGAGGGCGCCTCAGTGAAGAGTTTGAACACGGACACCTGCTGCAAATTGGTGAATCCCTCGGCATTCGCGTGCCCCCCCGGCAAAGGTTGAAGCTCTGGAAGAAGAGGTCCAGGCTAGGCGTCACCCCCCGGGACTTACAAAGCTGAAGGAAGCCGGTGATATAAGAATGGCTGTTCGGGGTCAGCTGGCAGGGGACCAAGCCAACAAACCTCAAATATTCCCGGAGGAATGGGTGCAGAGGGAACCTAAGTCCCATGGATACTGAAAGGACGTGCACCGCAATGCAGCCCTCGGGAGCCCGGGAGAGAACGTCATCCGGACCCGGTGTCACCACGATGGCCGAGGGGCCCACGTGAAGCTGGGTGACATAGATGTCCGCCGCATCAACCTTCGACTTGATCTCCAATGCGGCGGTGTTGAGATAGGAGTACCCCTCGGGCATATCGAGGGGCTTCCCTTGATCCGCTACGCTGCCCTTCTTCTTGGGAACAGCGGCCTTGGCCTTCTTCTTTCCGGGGGCCACCCGGAGGGGGACCGCATTCAGCGGCCGAGAGGTGCTGGCCTCCCCGGCACCCCGAGGGGGGAGCACAGCAACGGTTACCCTCTCGCTTTCCTTTTGTGCCTCCTCTTCAGCTGCTTGCCAGGCGATGGCCAACTCTTCGTCCTCACATTCCTGCTCAAAGCCCTCGGCCTCCGCCTCAGCTACGAGGGCTTTCTGCAACTCCCGGGCAACGACGGCATCCTGTCCCACCGAGGACTCTGCACTTGAGGACTCCACGTCCGAGAGGACTTCATCCTCCATCGAGGGCGCCCCCGAGATATCTTGAAAATCACTCTGGGACGACATTCTGACTCTAGTTCGAAGGCTCGTACAACTAGTGTTTTCTAAATGTTCTATCTCCTAGCCTAAGGGCGCAGTACAGGTAGTTAAGAGGTGAAGGGTAACTGGAGAACTGACCTTAAGAACAGAGGATTCAACCGGGGGCTGCTGTTTCTCTCTTTAGAAAAATTGGCAGAGCTTCGCTATCAAGTTTTTCGCACACGGAGGAATGCCTGGCCTTGGGGTATTTATAGGCGCTGGAATCCGGGCTTGGGCCTGGGTTCCGGGCCTCCGGATGGACGCCATCATTACTCACCGCGTCTTCGCCCAACCGGTGACGCCGCCCACGGACAGCCAGCCATCACACGCCACGTGTGCCCCCCCCAACGGCTATATCCCGTCGTTACATATTCCAACGGCTATATTTCCAACGGCTATATTTTGGAAGCCCCCGGGTTTTCTACTTCACTCCACTTCATCAAGGATAGCCTCCGGGTGCACTCACCCAGAAGTGCCCCCGGGTTGTGCCCCACACAGCACATTACACACGCCTTCGGGGTCACTCCTTCAGATCCCTAGGGCTGCATATCAGGGCACCCCTCGGGGTTTTCCCCTCAGCACTGCAAAACCGGGTAGCTCCCGGGGAGTGCCTCATTGACGGATGGCCCATGGCCCTCGGGTAACTTCATCACCAACTCATCAACAAATAGTGGACCCCCCGGTAACAACTTCACTGCTGCCCTCATCTGGCAGGCCCTCGATCCCTGGATTGAGGGGCTCCCCTTCGGCACCACCAGGGCATCAACAGCAAGCCTTCGGCTAATCAACACAGGAGCCCTCAGAGGAGAGAGCCTTCGGCATTCCCGTCATTCTCCACTTTGTACCGAGGTTTGACATTTTCGATTCATCATTGGGGGAATTCGGTGCACTCTTTTTCCCTCATTAGGATTTTTTCCCAAATGGTTTTTCCTAATGAGGTTTTTAACGAGGCATCCCCCCAAAATGAAACGAAAAGCGTTAGCCTTCGGCCCACAACAGCAACGTAATTACTTTACTCCTTTTCACCACTTTACAAGTGCCTCAAGGAGTGGGGGACTGGAGGACCCCTTCGGGAAAACCATTAAATTACAAAATCTGTGAAATTCCAACAAACAACGAAGCAAGCCCTCAAGTCCCGACATGTGGGTAACTGAGGGACTGCCTTCGGCAGGGACATAAAAGCAACAACTCCTCACCAACTTCAGGAATCACGATGGGACAACATCAAAGGGCAAGCACAAGTTACTCCTTTTCCCTCAAGTACCTTTCGGCAAAAGGAGTGAGGGACTCCTGATGGAGTATATGGCCCGGGAACCCCCGGCCCACAGACTCCTACTACTCCAGCGAAGGCCCAGCAGGCCCAACAGGCCCAAATCACAGCGCCCAAAGTACCAAGCAGCCCGCACTACGCGCCAGGGGTGCCTTCGGCCCCCTGGCCGAAGGCTCTAAACTCTCACAGAACGGGTTTCTCAAGCAAACTAAGAAACTGGGAGAAAACGGCGAAAACAGTAGCCCTCGGCACTGTGAGCCCTCGGCACCAGGGTGCCATCGGTTGGAGGAGCCCTCGGCTACTGCTCTATAGCCGAAGGCATCTCACTCGACAAGATATCCGCCTCACATGCGTACAGATCACCGTACCCCGCACAGACGTCCCATCCAACAGCCGCATTAAATGCGGCCACATGCGGCTGCCAGCGCCAACCAGTTGAGGTGACCCCTCGGCCAATGAGCGCTTGACACGTGTCCCTGCCCGACATTTATTGCTACTATAAATAGCACCCCATTTCCCCATTTGTAACCACGCTTGATACACATCGAATATACACTCTCTCTCTTACTTGTTTGCTCTAACTTCTCTCTAAGTTACTTCCTGCAATAACCCTTCGGATATATACCCCCGGGTAGACTATCCATCACAACCCAAGTACTCTCTCTGTTGCACCCAAGGGTAAATTGTATTGCCAACACTAAAGGACCCCCCACCTCAATTATATGATTTGATTAACGGGACAGATCCTAGAAGTAAACACTTCCAACATAATATCAGATCATATAATAGTATGTTTTCGTTCACATCGATGGGTGGGAGGATAGATAATGCAGTTAACAGGGGTGGGTCACCACCAATTTTTAAACTTGGTGGTCAGAATTATCATCTAATAGGGTCTCTATTGCCGCAAGAAGGAAGTGTCCCGAAATTTGCTCAACTATATATATATGACACACAACACGAAGATCTAAACCGCTTGAGTTCTGTGAGAGACGATACCACAAAAAACAATTTGCATGTAGAAATCGTGTCTTCTTTAAGAGGAATGCTTGATGAACACAACGTTTTGGTGAAGTCATTTAGGATGGTTCGAGACAAGATTGCTGAAGGTGGCGAGGCAAAAGTGAGTTTGAAATTAATAGGTAGAAGAAATAAAGATGCTAGAACTTATAATCTACCTACAGTTTCAGAAGTAGCAGCTTTGGTTGTGGGAGATTTTGATGAATCACTTGGGCAAAGAGATATAATGGTTGAAACCCAAGGAGGTTTTATGAAGCGTATAAATGAATTGAATCCTGCGTATTTGGGATTGCAATACCCACTTCTATTTCCCTTCGGTGAAGATGGTTATAGGGAGGATATTAATTTTTGTGAAGATAATACTTATTCTACAAAAGGTCGCAGAAGTGTTAGCATTAGGGAATATTTGGCATATAGATTGCATGAGCGGAGCATCGAATGCACTTTCATCCTCCAAAGTAGAAGGCTGTTCCAACAATTTGTCGTTGATGGATATACTATGGTTGAGTCTTCAAGACTAATGTACATCAGAACACATCAAAAACAATTAAGGTGTGAAATGTACAAAGGCCTTACCGATGCTTTACTCAGTGGCGAGCGAGATGCTTCTACCCAAGGAAAGAGAGTTGTTTTACCACCTACATTTGTTGGAGGAGCACGATATATGGTGCAAAATTACCAAGATTCAATGGCTATATGTCGGTGGGCTGGGTATCCGGATTTGTTCTTGACGTTCACATGCAATCCAAAGTGGCCAGAAATTGTAAGATTTCTTAAAGAAAGAAACTTGAGTCCTGAAGATCGACCAGATATAATATGTAGAGTTTTCAAGATGAAGTTGGATGGATTGATTAAAGATCTACGTAATAATAAGACATTTGGTGAAGTGAGAGCAGGTATACCATAAGTCACATTATAATTCTATTTAATACAATGTCATATAAAATATAGCAAACTTACATTGGCACATTATTTCTTCTATGTGCAGTCATATACACAGTGGAATTTCAGAAGCGTGGCCTTCCCCACGCTCATATTTTGTTATTCATGGCAAGTGCAGACAAATTTCCCACTTCGACAGACATTGATGACATCATTTCTGCAGAAATACCTGATGAGGCAAATGATCCGGAATATTTCAATGCGGTACGTATGCATATGATGCATGGGCCGTGTGGAAATGAAGCAAAAAATGCTCCATGCATGGTACAATCTAAGTGTGCAAAGCACTTCCCCAAGAATTTCAATGAGCAGACAACCGTGGACGATGAAGGTTATCCTAGGTATAGAAGGCGCAATGATGGAAGAACTGTTGTGAAAAGTGGATCACACCTTGACAACAGATATGTTGTTCCCCATAATAGGTATTTACTCTTGAAGTACGGTGCTCATCTCAATGTGGAGTGGTGTAATCAAGGCAGGTCAATCAAATATTTGTTCAAATACGTCAACAAAGGACATGATCGTGTGACGGCCGGATTTTATGAAACTTCAAATGCAGATGATAGCGAGAAACCCGTGGATGAAATAAAACTTTACTACGATTGTAGGTATATATCTCCATGTGAGGCGATGTGGAGAATACTAGGGGTTGAGATTCAGTATAAGAATCCATCTGTTGAACGATTGAGTTTTCACTTTCCGGATGAACAATATGTTTACTTTGATGATAATGCATCGGTAAGTGATGTCGTGTTACGCGAATCTATGAAGGAGAGTATGTTTTTGGCATGGATGAGGGCGAATGAGCAGTACCCAAATGAGGCACGAGATTTAACTTATGCTGAATTTCCTCAAAGGTTTGTTTGGAAGGCTACAACAAGAGAATTCGTACCTCGCAAAAAGGGTTTTGCTATAGGTCGACTAACTTATGTCCCTCCAGGTTCAGGGGAATCTTATTATTTGCGTTGCCTCCTAAATTTGAAGCGTGGGCCTACATGTTTTGATGATCTAAGAACTGTGGATGGGGTTTGTTATGAGACATATCGTGAGGCATGTTTCGCAATGGGATTGTTAGATGATGACAAAGAGTATGTTGACGGAATTTCTGAGGGGAGTTTTTGGGCTTCAGCATGGGTGCTCAGAAAGCATTTTGTCATATTATTGATAGCGGATACGATGAGTAGACCAGAGTACGTTTGGGAAAAATGTTGGACATTCATGTCAGATGACATTTTACACAGGCAGAGAACAGCTTTACTCCATCCCGGTACATAACAAAACTACTACTTTTTTCCGGATTCAAATTAATTTCAATAATACATACATATCTTTCTTATGTTGATTTTGTTTTTCAATCCTTTGTTTTAGATTTAACGTTAACAGAGGCGGAGATTAAAAATTATGCACTAATAGAAATAGAGCTGATGTTGAAGAGGAATGGCAGGAGCTTAAAGAACTATCCATCAATGCCATTCCCTGACATAAGTCAATCATCCATGACTCAGAACAGGCTTATATTCGACGAATTGCAATATGATCGTGTTGCATTATGTCATGAGCATGAGAAATGCATTGATAGTTTGAATGATCAACAACGTCACGTGTACACAACGATTATGGAATCGATTTAAGAAAACAAAGGCGGGGTTTTCTTTGTGTATGGTTACGGAGGTACAGGAAAAACGTTTGTTTGGAAAACATTGTCTGCTGCTTTGAGGTCAAAGGGGGAAATTGTTCTTAACGTTGCTTCCAGCGGCATTGCGGCTTTACTATTACCCGGTGGGAGGACAGCTCATTCACGTTTCGCAATACCAATCAATCCGACTGAAAACTCCACCTGCAACATCAATCAAGGGAGTCCACTAGCACAGTTGATAATTCGGTGCAAACTCATTATATGGGATGAGGCACCAATGATGCACAAGTATTGTTTTGAAGCTTTGGACAGGAGTTTGAGAGACATCCTTAGATTTACAAATTCATATACCAGTGATAAACCGTTTGGAGGCAAAACGGTGGTGTTCGGGGGGGATTTTAGACAAATCTTACCTGTAATTACAAAGGGTACCAGACAAGACATAGTGAATGCCACAATTAATTCTTCATATATTTGGCACGAATGCATTGTCTTGCGTTTGACAGAGAACATGAGACTCCAATCACTTAGTGACGATTGTGAATATGAAGATTTGGTGGAGTTTGCGAACTGGATTGCTGCTTTAGGAGATGGTACCGCGGGCGAAGTCAATGATGGATTTGCCGATGTCAAAATTCCAAGCGACATTCTCTTAGAGTGCGGAGAGGATCCGATTGCCACTATTGTAAAAAGCACCTATCCTGACTTTGAGAAAATAGCCAATGATCTGTCCTACTTGCAAGAGCGTGCAATCCTAGCTCCAACTCTTGATGTTGTGGATCAAATTAACGAATACATGACATCTCTCAATGTTCAGGAAGAGTCTAGGACATATTTGAGTTCTGATAGCATCTGCAAGTCAGACTCAAATTCCGATTTCTTGGCTGATTTGCACACTCCTGAATTCCTAAATAAAATCCGTGCATCAGGAGTTCCGAACCATGAGTTAATCCTTAAAGTCGGTACTCCGATAATGCTTCTGAGGAATATTGATCCGTCTATGGGGCTTTGCAATGGAACAAGGTTGATTGTTACACGACTTGGGAATCACATCCTCGGAGCAAAAATTCTAGGGGGGAAATATGCTACACTTGAAGTTGTCATTCCAAGGTTAACTTTGACTCCATCTGATTCAAGAATTCCCTTCAAGTTTCAAAGAAGACAATTTCCCGTCATGACCTCTTATGCGATGACAATAAATAAAAGTCAAGGTCAATCACTGTCGCATGTTGGCCTTTTATTAAAAAAACCAGTCTTTACGCATGGTCAACTGTATGTTGCAGCATCGAGAGTCACAAATCGCAAGGGTTTGAAGATACTCATATGCAGTGAAAATGGGGAACAACTCGATCGTACTATCAATGTTGTTTACAAAGAAGTATTTCGGAATTTGTAGAGTACGGATTTCCTATTGTAATTTGGTTTATTCCTTACGATCCTGAAACATTATTCGTACCAATTACATATATACTCTTTCATGTCATTTAGGCATTAACTATTTATATTAACAACTAATACGAAACAATTAATTACTTAATATTATTATTTAGTATATGTCCCGCGCATCGCGCGGGTGAAAATCTTGTAACTTCCATAAGATCTGTAGAGTTTAAGTTTGAGTCGAGTTCAAAGTGCTATACAAGTTTTCTATTTTAAAATTATACGTAGCATATTTTTAAACAAAGATTTTGATCTATTATACGTTTAAATACGTACATATGTGCAATAATCAATAATTTTGTAAACATACAAACATTGTTTAAAATTCTCCGCCTTCCATCTTAGACATTTTAGGGCTCTTTTTCGCCCGAAAATGCATTTTTAAAATATTGTCTAAAACGTTAAGAATTTGTGAAATTCTAGTATATTTTCAATAGAATATAAGTGTAGTTTTTATGCATGGATCCATATATTATAGATATATGATCTAATGTCACTACAAAAAAACTCGCCATTTGTCACGGATTTTGTCACGGACGGTAGTTCAAAAAATCCGTGACAGATGATTTTTTGTCACAGATTTGTCACGGAAAAAATCCGTGACACCAGGGGCGTGATAACGTTTTTGTCACGGAAATTAATCCGTGAGACGGTTTGTCACGGATTTGTCACGGCCACCGTCCGTGACAAAACACTTCACCGGAACCCCATCGCCTTTCATTTGTCACGGCCACATCCGTGAATAAATTTTTTTATTTTTTCAAAAAAAAATAATTATTTGTCACGGAAATTTCCGTGACAAATTTAAAAAAAGGTTTTTCGAAATAGAGTGGGCGGGTATTTGAAACGATCCGGAAAATTCAAATTTTAAATTTTGTCACGGAAATATCCGTGACAAAACATTTTGAAAAAAATTTGAAAATTTTAAAATAGAGTGGGCGGGGTACTTTAAAATTTTCAAAAAAATTCAAAATTTTGAACTTGTCACGGATCCCATCCGTGACAACACATTTTTTTTTAAAAAAAAATACGTTATTTTCAGCGTTTTATGTATTTAAAATAAAATGAATTTATATTTTGTCACGGAACAGTCCGTGACAAAAGTTTAATTTTTTTTAAATTTTTTTTTTAAAAATTCAGCGCATTAATTTTTTGAATGTTTATTTCAAAAGTTTATTTAATAAATAATAACCATTAAAATTTAGGCGCTTTTTCAAAAATCTAAACTTAATAAACATTGTTTTTAATAAATAGTTAAACAATCATCATCATTAATCTTAATAAATAATTGTTTATAATAAATAATTAAACAATCATCATTAATCATCATTAATCACCATTAAACATTATGTATCATAATAAATAATAAACCAATCAAACCATCATTATATAACACAAATAATTAATATTCATACATTAACACATCAAAATTTAAAAATCTTTAAAATGTCAATAAACTAATTATTACAAACCATCAATGGTAATCATAATCAGCATCATCATCATCAGGTTCGTCACGATGATCGGGTTGCCTTCCGTGGCCACGGCTGCCACCACGATGGTTGCCTCGACTGCCACCGCGGCTGCCAGCACGGCTGCTGCCACGGTATGCTTGAGCTCCGGGAGTCGGGATATCATCATAATATCCATATGGAAAGTTGTTGGAGATATGGCTATAATTAGTAAAACCCCTACTGCCCATACTGCTCATATTGCCCATATTGCCCGCGAAGGGAACTTGTGGGGTCATCTCGGGGTGCTGTATGTGCATGGATGGACGGTAGGTGGCGTTGAAAATACGCATTTGGCGTTCCATCTCTTCCAACCTTTCTCTTGTTCTTCTTTGCTCTTCATCCCGTATCCGAGCTTCTTCATCCCGCCTTCGAGCCTCGGCTTCACGTTCCTCCAATAGCTTCTCGAGGCGGGTAACCCGATCATCATATGCCGAATGAGAAGATGAGCTAGCTCCTTTGGCCTTCTCTAGGATCTGTACGCCTTCAGAACCCATAAGCGGCACCCGGCCCTTGTAAACTCCGGTTGCCGCCAAGATGGCCTCATGTTCTTGATTTTCATCAAGTTCGTCATCAGAATCAGCTAGCTCATCAACTCTTTTCCCCCGCTCTTCCTCATATTTTTTCTACAAGTTCAAAAATTTATTATATAAGAGATAAAAAAAATCGAAATTTATTGAATTATTGAAGTTTCATTATTTACTTCAATTTCAGAAAGGCGGGGAGGCGGCATGGCACCCTTCTTCGTCCAGCAATGTGCCATGAGTTTCAATGGCGTGACCCGTTTTTTCACGGGTCCAGATCCTTCCTACACGGATTTCAAAGTTAATAAAAAAATATATACATAAGGGTATGGAATGGAAATAATTTTAACTAATTAGAGTTTACCAAATCTTTTTTATGTTGAATTTGGGGTTTGCGGCCCCCGTGCCATTGAACTTCCTTGGCTTTCTCGGAGTTCCGGTTTGCCTTGGCCGTTTCGCTTCTCAGCAAAAATGCGGCATCCGTAGCCCAGTGGCGGCAAAGCATCTCCCACACATCATCGCCATGGAATTTTGGCTTTTTACCCGTAGACCGGGCGGTCCTAAAAGTGGGTCTCAACCACCCAGAAATCCTAGAATTGTATTCTTTGAGAATAGCTTGGTCTAGGGCAAAATGCCACCGATGGGAAGCCTTCATTAAAAACATTGATATATCATTTCTTAAATTTAAGTTATTAAAATGTAACAAAAAAATTTATTTTTACCTTGAACAACCGCCACCATAGTTCACGAGTGGCCGCCGGAACCTCACCATAAGTCGACCAAGGCCCCGTGAAATGACCACAAACAATAGCCTTGATTCTATTCAAGACCTCGGAATCGCTTCAAAAAATTGATAATTGATAAAAACAATTGTATTAATTCTTAGATGTAGAGATTATACTATTTTATATTTGAGAGTGTTAGTTTTTTATTACCTATGGATTGATTGAGGTGTCACCTCAAGCGAACCGGGATTGTGGCGCTCTTCTTGAGTGGGGGGGGGGGGGGGGGGGGGGGGGGGCATATATTGCACGAGATGAAGGAGGTGCATGAGATGATGCCCCCTCCCCATGCACGCTTATATGAGCGTCTGATTGTTCAGAGGGAGGAGTTTGGACATGTCCGTCATGAGCTTGTCCTTCGTCGGGATTGATATCATCATTGATATCACGATCAGCGTTTGAGGCCCGTCGTGAATTCTGGCGCCCACGACGAGCAACGGTGGAAAGGCGGCGTTCGTGCTCACTCATCTAAAATTATTGAGAAATAATATATAGAACATATTAAACTTGTGTTTAATATGAGAGGTCAAATGAGTTTTTAGTTTGATTTTTATGTTATGGAATTTAATTGTGTTAGATATTATTTTATCAAACCTTATAAAATCAATTTATGGAGTTTTTGTGTGGTATGATGGTTTAAACTTAATGAGTTTCCTATTTAGTTATCAAACATTGAAATATAGAACATATTAAACTTGAGTTTAATATGAGGGGTAGAATGTGTTTTTTGTATGATTTTTATGTTATTGAATTTAATTGTGTTAGGTATTATTTTATCAAACCTTATAAAATTATTTTATGGTGTTTTTGTGTGGTATAAAACTTTGATAAATAGAACATATTAAACTTGAGTTTAATATGAGGGGTCGAATCAGTTTTTTGTATGATTTTTATGTTATGGAGGTAACTTGTGTTGTGTATATTTTTTATCAAACCTTATAAAATCAATTAATCAAACTTTTTATATTAAACTAATAAAATCAATTTTTCCATATTAAATTATAAATCACAGGAAATCAGTTTTTTGCATTAATTTAGAAAAATACAGTTTATTACACCTTGTATTTTGTATTAATTTATAAAAAACAGTTTTCTAAAATCAGTTTATGGAGTTTTTGTGTGGTATAATGGTTTAAACTTATTAGTTTCCTATTTATTTATCAAACTTTGAAACATAGAACATATTAAACTTGAGTTTAATATGAGGGGTAGAATGAGTTTTTTGTATGATTTTTATGTTATTGAATTTAATTGTGTTACGTATTTATCAATCTTTGAAATATAGAACATATTAAACTTGAGTTTAATATGAGGGGTAGGATGAGTTTTTTGTATGATTTTTATGTTATTGAATTTAATTGTGTTAGGTATTAATTTATAAAAAACAGTTTTCTGATTTTGTAAATCAGAAAACTGATTTCTGAATTAAAACTGATTTTTGAATTAAAAAATCAAACTGATTTTTGATCACGGATAAAAAATTAAACTGATTTCTGTAAATGACGGATATTTTTTATCAAACTGATTTTTGATCACTGAATTAAAAAATTAAACTGATTTCTGTAAATCCACATATTTTTTATCAAACTGATTTTTGAAATAAAAAATCAGTTTTTGTTTATATAATACAAAATGGTTTCATATGTTTCATGAAAAAATTGATTTTTGAAATCTATAAAATCAATTTTTTCATAAAATTTTTAAAAATCAGTTTCATTTTTTGTTTATTCATGAAACCTATAAAATCAATTTTTCATGAAACATATGAAATCATTTTCGTATTATATAAACAAAAACAGTTTGTTTAGTTTTTTTTATTTCTGTTTTAATATATAAAATACATTTTTTTACTTCATTTCTGTTTTTTACCTATGAAAAAGTTTATTATTAATTTCTGTATTATTTCAATTATTTCATATTTGCTTATCAAGCTTATCAACAATGTAAAAAAACGACGTTTTTTATGTTTTTTATGAAACAACGTTTTATTTAAAATAAAATATTATAATATCCGAAATTATTTAAAAATCAGTTAAATAATCCGAAATTTTTATAAGCGTTTTATAATATTAAAAAAAATATTATAATATCCGAAATATTATAAAAAAATAATGAACAGTTTCATTATTTTGTTGGGTTAGACATGTTAACTTTTTTGAAAGTGTAACATGAGGGGGCGAAAATTAATGGAGTTGAAATTATTATTCTTTATAAATATTTAATAATTAACTATTCTTAATAAATATCCGAAAAACTCAAAAACATATAAACATTCAATATCTAAGGCATATTTAAAGCATATAAACAAATGATATACACATATTATGAAACGATAAATCTAAAGCAGTCATTTTTAAATTAAGAGAATGCATATGAATATAGGAACAATAAAATTACGAGCATGCATATGAATATTCGGAGACATATAAACATTAAAACAATATTAAGAAAAACATGCATTAAATAATTAAATTTACGAGCATGCATATGAATATCAAGAAAAACATATAAACATGCATGTATATTAAGAAAAACATGCATTAAATAATTAAAAACATGCAATAAAATTACGAGCATGCAGATGAATATTCGGAAACATATAAACATTAAAACAATATTAAGAAAAACATGCATTAAATAATTAAATTCACGAGCATGCATATGAATATTAAGAAAAACATATAAACATGCATGTATATTAAGAAAAACATGCATTAAATAATTAAAAACATGCAATAAAATTACGAGCATGCATATGAATATTCGGAAACATATAAACATTAAACATATACACATATTCAATGCATGATAACTTATTAACATATAAACATTAAATTAAACAATTAAACAATATTAAGAAAAACATGCATTTTATTTTTGGCATTTTAAAACATTTATTCTAAAATATTCGGAAATTAAAGAGTTAGAAACATAACCTCAATGAAGGAGAAGAAGACAAGAAATTAAAGGGAAAGGAGTGAAGGCCGGCTTCGAAGGACGGCGGCAGGGGTGGAGATAATCCGCGGTGGCCGGATAGATGTGTGCGGCGGCGGTCGGCGGGTGTAAGAGAGGCAGAAGGTCGGCGGTCGGCGGGTGTAATAGAGGCAGAACGGCGTTTGGGAGGGTGGCGGTCAGCGGGTGTAGGAGGCAGAAGTGTTTGGGAATAGAGAGTAAGCAGTTAGGGTTTGCTGAAGTTGGGAAGCGTAAGGAAAAAAATGGCTAAGTGTCGTTTATATATTAGGGGTTGTCACGGACCCATCCGTGACAACGCCCGTGACAAATTAATTACGGATTTTGAAATTTTAATTTGTCACGGATTAATCCGTGACAAAAGCATCGGAACTTGAAAACTGCGGAACGGCAGTCGAGGCGGCAGGGAACGGCAGACGAGGTAGCAGAACGGCAGGTTGACCGGTTTGTCACGGATCCATCCGTGACAAATCCGTGACAAAATTCAAAAATTTGAATTTTGTCACGGATTTGTCACGGATGGATCCGTGACAAACCGATGCAGGGAATATTAAAGCTTTTCAGCCTTTTTCAGACGAGGCGTCAGCTACTTTAATTGTCACGGACCTATCAGTGACAAATTTAAGTATAAATATGTGCTTAGAGTCCCATTTTTTCAGTGCGAAAAAATGGCTAATCCAGAACGAGATGTGTTGAAGTTGATCAGTAGAAGTGTACAACGATTAAAACAAGTTACACAGTTGATGAAGCCTTGAAATGCAGAAGCAGTTCAAAGCATCCGTGAGCTGACGAGTAGGCCGCTTGAAAGCTTTGGCGATATTGTAGACTATGAATCAGACTCATACAACGTTTCACGAGGGAAAAACTTGCGTAGGGCACTTTTACGTGCAGAACAATGTTCGGAGTATATGATACCTATAAACGCGGAAGCTGCAGAAAGAATTAACGAGCTACTTGATAGGCCTCTAGATGAAAGTTTTGACGCTAATGAATAATATTGTGTTTATTTGTTTATCTGTATTGTGAGTTGTTGAATGTAATAAATGATAAAAAATTGTGTATTTTCTACTTAGTTTTTAAATTTAATAAATAAATTCATGTTCTTGTTTATTAAATTTCGAATTATTAAAATTTTGTAATGTTAAACAACTAATAACAAATAATGTTAAAAAACTAATTTCTGAATTTTAAATAATGTTAAATTTCGAATTATTTAAAATTTAAATAATTTTCAATTTTCAAAATTACCTAATTAATTTTAAATTTCTGAATTGATAATAATGAACCACTAATTTTCGATTGAATAATTTTAAAAACTTAATTTTATTAATTAATTAATCGCTATTTTACAATATAATATGGAATAATTATTTTGTTTAGAAATTATAGTTGCGAATTACATACCTAACTATCTTGGAATAATATAATAATGACGAAAGAAAGTTAAAAATTAAAATTAAAATAGTTCAATTAAAAGTAATTACATTGGTTGTTAACTATACATTTAATCGCTATCAGAATGAGTATTTTCTTGATAGCCAACTTCTTCTTCTGTATCTTCATCATCATATATCCATTCTTCTTCCTCCTGGTCATCGTGTAGTTGTTGTATATATAATTCTTCAATTTCGCGCTCATTTTGAGGTATAGGGGGTGGAAGGTGTGTTTCAGGCATAACTTCAACATCTCCGTCATTTGGGTCACTTAACTGAATGTTATGGTTGACCGTGTCAGCAATAGGCGGAGGTTGGAAAAAATCTTGCTGAAAAGCATCAAAGTCAATATCCTTGTGTTGAGCCTGTGTTACAATTTTGCTCGGACGGATATTAATGGCACACGTCCAAGGATTCCGTGTGCGCCTGGTTGAAGGATACTCTGCATAATAAACCTGGGCTGCTTGTTGAGCGAGTATAAATGGCTCATTTTTCTGATACACACGAAAGTGGTTGACGTCAATTATATTATACTTTGAATTTTTTCTCACACCACGTGTAGGGTCGACCCATGTGCAGCGAAACAACACACATGTTAATTCTTGCAAACCAGAAGGCATTTGAAGTTCGAGAATCTCATGCAAGAAACCAAAAAAATTGGTTTCCGAGTTATCAGAACCGATGGTCGGGACACATAACCCGTTGTTCATTGTTGGTCGACCTTCTCCATATTCGACTGTGTGATACGTATAACCGTTTATCACATATGAATGCCAAACCTTTGCATAGGAAGAAGGGCCCCACGATAATGATACTAACAGAGGGTCGTTAATCCCACGGTACCTGATCTGCAAATTAAAATATGATAACATTAGGTAATGATTAAAAATTACTAGCTAATAGTATATATAATGTATTTATATATATATATATATATATATATATATATATATATATAATACCTGCTGTTGGTACCATAATGCAAAGTCAGAGTCCACCATTGCATCAATTGCATCATCAGGAAATGCTGATAAAGACGCTCTAAATTCACTGTGAATTGAAACATAAAGATATTATTATAACACTCTAATTATTAAAAAAATATTAGCTATATTACAAATGTAATTACCGATTCAACTTACTTATAAAATGGTAAGATTTCTGGACAATTCATGAGGATGTAAGTATGTGCAATTTTCATTTCTCCGCCCACGATGTAACGGTAAGTCGCAGCTCCTTTACCTCTACCTGGGTAGTTGAAAATAGAAACTACTTTATCATATGAATCCTCACCAATGTCATCGTTCCGAGCAGGTCTCTTTCTTTTACTGATGACTTCACGCTCAAAATAAAAAGATGAAAACGTTGAGGTTTCTTGTTGAATATATGCTTGACAAATTGAAGCCTCAATGTGTGCCTTGTTGGTCGCTTTCTTTTTCAAATCTCCCAGAAATCTGTCATGCAAAATAAAATTTGTAAACAAACAAATGTTCTTATTAAACAAATCATCGTTTATAAATGAAATTATGACTAACCTTTCAAATCTGTACATCCAACGATAGAAGACGGGCCCTCCATTCAACGCCTCATACGGAAGATGTATTAGAAGATGTTCCATTACATCAAAAAATGATGGGGGCAGTATCTTTTCCAGATTACACATCAGAATAGGAACAGTGTCTTCTAGTCTCCTCAGGGATTCGGCATCCAAAACGGCGGAACATATCGACTGAAACAATTGACTGATTTCGGTAATACAGCCCCAGACGTCTGCAGGAAGCATCTCTTTCAGTGCAATCGGCAGAAGTCGTTGCATGATTACATGAGCATCATGAGTTTTCATGCTCGACGTCATTGTTTGTTTGTCCAGGTCCACGCATCTTGACAAGTTAGAACAATAGCCATCTGGAAAGTTCAGAGAAACAAGCCACTCTAATATTGATTCCCTTTGTGGGGCTGTGAGTTGGTAGACTGCTCTTGGAATTTTTTTACCCACATATTCTAGATCGACGGCGAGTTCGGGTCTGTCGCACCAAATTGTCATGTCTTTTCTAGATGCAAGACCATCTTTGGTTTTATGGGTAAAATCCATAATCGTGTTAAATATATTGTCAAAGACGTTCTTCTCAACGTGCATGACATCTAAATTGTTACGAATGAGAATGTCCTTCCAATACGGCAACTCCCAAAATATACTCCTCTTTGTCCACTTATGGGTATCACAATACCCATTTGGCTCCCCGTGGGGTTGCTGCACGGCCGTAGGAAAATGTCGAACCCGGTTAAAAACTTGTTCACCTGTAAGTCTTGGAGGAGGGGGATCTCGTACCACTCTTCCGGCAATAAAAGACTTCTTGTCCTTTCGATATAGATGGTTCATAGGCAGAAACTTGCGGTGACAATCAAAGTAACTTGGTTTCCCGCTAAATTTGAGCCAATTGGCATCTGATTTCTCCATACATATCGGACATCCCATAAGACCGTGTGTGCTCCATCCTGAAAGCATACCATAAGCAGGGAAGTCGCTAATGGTCCAAATGATGGCAGATTTCATGATAAACATTTGATCTCTTGAAACATAATAAGTTGGTGTCCCAATGGCCCAAAGTTCTTTCATCTCCTCGATTAGGGGTTGGAGATAGATGTCTATCCTTTTTTTAGGATCCGAGGGACCTGGACAAATTAAAGTTAAAAAGATGAAATGACTTTTCATGCACATGTCGGGAGGAAGATTATAAGGAGTTAGCATGACTGGCCAACATGAAAATTTCTTCCCAAACTTTCCAAAAGCAGCAAATCCGTCTGAACACAATCCCAGTCGCACATTCCGTGGCTCCATTGCAAACTGAGGATGACAACGGTCAAAGTGTCTCCAAGCTTCACAGTCGGAAGGGTGAGACATCAAACCCTCTTTGGTTTCGTGCTCAACATGCCACGTCATGTGTTTCGCAGTAGCATTTGAAGCATACATCCTCTTTAGGCGTGGAGCTAGAGGGAGGTAAAACAATTTAGACAATGCAGACCTTTTTCGTGGTTTTTTTCGTCTATGAGGAACATGCTTGTATCTCTCTCCACCACAGAACTTGCAGCTCTCAAGTGCCACATCATCCTCCCAGAACAACATACATCCTTCTGGGCACACATCAATTTCTATACAAGGAAGCCCCAACTGAGACATTAATTGTTTCATTTTGTAATATGAATCAGGAAGATTATGGTCACGCGGTAACATTCCTCCAAATGACTGCAATAACCTAGACATGCAAGATTCAGGAAGACTGTATTCAGATTTAATGTTCATCAACTCTGTAACGGCGGATAGCTGAGAGTATCCCTCACAACCAGCATACAGAGGCTGATCGACAGCTTTTAAAACATCTTGAAATCTTTCAGCTAAGTCTTCAATATGAGGAACATGAGAATTCAGATACTCATCCGCGTCAGGCTGATAAAAGGTCGGATCTTCATCCGCATCGGGTTGATACGAGGTCGAAGCTTCGGGAAGATCGTTAAGTGGCTGTGGTGGGTTAAACTGAATCGTTGAAGCACCGTATACATCATATGCCATTCTTTGATCCCACGTCATTTGATCATAGTCTCCCCATCCACTCATCTCGGTAGGGACGTTACGAGATGAACCTACTGTTTGTGGTAAAAGTGATGGATCGAAAGGTTCGCCATGAGAAGTCCAATTATAATAATTGGCAACGAAACCTTTTTCGTACAAATCCCACACAACTTGGTCGACATCTTTAAATTGAAGATTTTTACACTTTGTACATGGACATCTGATTTTATCGCCATCCATATAATTCTTCTGTTCTTGTGCAAATTTAATAAAATCTTCAACACCATTAAAAAATTCACTGCGTATTCCATAGTTATCGCGATGTTTTTGGTACATCCAACTTCTGTTTTGTCTATACATTATGCCTGTATATATATTATAATCAAAATATTATATAAGTACATTAATATTATTAATTACCTAAAAGCAGTACATTATTTGTGGCATTAATAATTTGAATTAACCAACTTTTCAATCATGTAGAAACGCCCACTAAAATATTATTTAGAAACATTAAGCTGGCCGGAATTAATAATTTACTAATATTTAACTAATAGTAATATGTTAATGGCATTAATCGTTTTAATTATTAACTAATTCACAATATTAGAATTGTGCACCAAACACACTAAATTATTACGTTAATGGCATTTATTCACAATACTAAAATTATGAAAATCTAATAGTACACATTAAATAATTAACTAACATATAATACTAATTAAAGTTATTACGTTACGTTAATTAATGGCATTTATTCACACTTAACTAATAAAGTTTGAATCCTAACTTAAATCACTACAAATCCTAAATTATGCATTAACAATAATTAACTAATTAATAAACAAATTAAACCTAATCATCATCATTGATCAATTAACTAATATTTAAATCTAACTAATATTATCAACTCATCAAATTCTAAACCCATTTCCTCAATGTTTTAACTTAATTAATTAGTTAATTAATTTACATTTAACTAATATTATTGTTAAATATTATCTCATTAATAATTCACAATAATAATTCACACTAAACTAAATAATAATAAAGTTTCAATCCTAGCTAGCTATATTATGCATCCCATTAACAATAATTGCTAATAAATAATAATTGGTGATAATTAATAACCTAATAATTAAGGTAGCTAACTTAATTAAATCACTACAAGTCACTAATTAATTAATCTATAATAAGCTAGCTAATACTTAAATCATCACTACACATCCTAAATTATGCATTCATAATAACAATAATTGCTAATTAATATAAACAAACCGGCCTAATCATTGGTGATATAAACTCATTATTTAACTAATTAATTAAACAAACCGGCCTAATCCTAGCTATATTATGCCATGCATCACATTAACTAATTAATATTTATATTTAAATTTAACTAATTAAATTACGTTAATAGTTTAATAATATATTGTTAATAATATGAAAATTAACATGACCTCACTAAATTACGTTAATAGTTTAAATAAATGAACAACTAATTAACCTCACTAATTAATTATTAAGCTAATAATTAATTATTATTATATAAAGAAATAAAAAAGAATCCTAACCTCACTAATTAATTATTAAGCTAATAATTAATTTATTACACAATTAAAAGAAATTAGTTAAAATGACATACCTTATCTGCATAAACTGGGAAAATGATGAACTGACGGATTACATCATTCAATCTTTAAACCGATACTACATCACTCGAATCTACGAATTTTTGAACTGATAATTGTTGTTCTTGCAATTGTAATGGACGATGGGGTTGGTTATATAAAAAAGTTTGTCACGGATTTGTCACGGATTTATCCGTGACAACTCTTTTTCCGTACCGTATTATTAAAGGTTACCGCTGGAAAATCAATAATTGAGGTTTGTCACGAATTTTGTCACGGATGGATCCGTGACAAAGTTTTTTTGAAATTTGTCACGGATTTGTCACGGAACGGTCCGTGACAAATGCCCGGAAGCAAAAAAAGTATTCACCGGAGTAAAAAACCGGTCGCCGGAGTAAATTTGTCACGGACCAAATCCGTGACAATATTTTGTCACGGATTTTGTCACGGACCTATCCGCTTTATATTATAAACATTTACACATTATTTTGTCACTGTGTCTTTTAATTTAAAATTAAACTAATCCATATATTTTCAATAGACTTTAGACCGGCCAACATTTATTCTCATTTTTCACGGTATTACTACTTTTTATTTAAACTTACTACCTATGACCTATCTATGTACTCCGTATACAATTTGGAGAAAATACTCCCTCTGTCCCGGTCATTTCTTCCGGTTTTGACTTGGCTCGCAAATTTAGATAGCGAGAATAAAACGGAAATGTATGGTTGTAGTTGTGTAAAAAAGGTGAATGAATGTGAACCACATATTTTTTTCCAAAAGTGGAAGTTGGAAGAATTAATTGGGACGGTCAATTAAGAAAAGTTGAAAGAAATGACCGGGACGGAGAGTAGTAATTTTTGAGGTGAAAAGTCAGAACCCATCTTGAAAAAATTAACTGACTAGATAAACTGTAAATATGAGGTGTTTTTAAAAGTAGAGACGTAGAGTGACATAAGGGCATGACTTCACGTAAAAATGCATTTGTGTGATATGAGATGGGGTTTTTTACAAAAATATTATTCTACATGTCCCATTTTGTAAGATATCTTTCTCATTCACTTGGTCAACACAAATCACTCTTAATCTCTTACTTTATATATCAAATTTTTATCAAATTTGATTCTGGTTTTTGCGACTTTGTAAAGCTTTTAATGTAGTTTCTGAACATGTAATTCTTTTTTTCTTATAATAATTTGAGTCCGGACAGGGATCCGTTTGCTTTATCGTCGATCAAACATCATAAATCGTAAAGTGTCTTACAATTTGGGAAGGATGAAGTACTAAAATAAAACTTATTTACAAAAATATGACTATTAGCTACTACAATGTAGTGTCATAGTAACTTAAGTTCAAAAATTGAATACTCCGTATAAGTTACAATGATTTCATTACTAACCTAGTTACTAGTCACATTTTTGTAAACAATCTCCATTTTAGTCATAAATATATATGTAATTATGCACTAATAAGTGCACCATTATTAGAACCAAAAGATGCTTTTGCTACTATAGGTGTCCATGTACTCTTAGGAATATGAGATGCACTCTTACTTTTAACTATTGCACATTTAAGTTTCACATATATTTACAATTATGTCATTACTAATATTTGAATTAAAATGTTCTATTTTATAAACTTACGTAGTGCTCCGTATAAGTTATCAAGGTGAACCCTCCATTACATGTGTGTGTGTGGGGGGTGTTTAAACATGTTCATCATTCTTTCATTCTTCATTCCATCTTTATGACATGGAGAAGAAAATCACTCCAAGAATCTATAAGACCAGGCAGACACCAATGTACACAATCATTATACAGTGTCATGTTATCACGTGGCAAATGCCCATATCGACTAGGATGACCGTCCGGTCTCAACAACATAGCATATGTCATATCTAGCAATCTGTATTTCAATCCTTTCATCTTTCCTTCCTTTTGTGCCACTTTGAATTCCTCCATTTGAGCCAAGTACATTTCCAAATTTGTTCCATCCAAAAGTGTTTCATTTTTCTTGAGTGGTAAGTGCCTTGGACAAGTCCCACCATCATTCCACTCCCCACCTTCAAAGTGTGACGGTGCAAAAGTTCTTAAAAATGTTACACCTTTATAATTCTTTAAATTGTTTATAGCTTTAAAAGCCGTCTTAAATGCCATCCGATATCCGTAAGACATCGGCATGTCAGTCACATTCTCTATCAAGCAGTAACGACACCCAACTCGTTTTCCGTTCTTGAAATACATGCTCGGACGGTAGAACCAATGGCCGGCGCTTATGATGACATAATCAAATCTCTCAATCTGAGTGGTCCATTCTTCATTGACCTCATCAAGGTAGAGATTATATAAGCCAGTGTGGGTTGGACCATCCGAATCAGTCTCTTTGGCCCTCACCAAGAATGGTGACCAAAATGTTGCAATAGTGAAGTTGAAAGTCACGTACTTCCATCGCTTGAAATTTTCGTCTTTAGATGTTGAAACATCAAGTGGGTACTCTACCTTCAAGAATATGAACAATTTAATTTGTAATATATAAATAGTAAATAAATTCGAGTTGAATTCAGATTCTAATTGTCAGCAACTCAAGACCAATTAATTATATGTTCCCTTGCACTTTAACTTTCACGAATCTTGTAATAATGTTAAATGAAGTACAAAGGTGAAATTCCTATAACACATTTTCTTATAGGAGCTGTGTCTTTTATCATCTCAAAATATAAGGTTGACTTTGGAAAAAGTTAGAATCCACTCTTATTTTTATACGATAAATTTTATTTTTTGGCTTGTCTCATATATGTGTAAATTAAAATTAAAGATCAATGAGTTTTTACCTTCTTACTTTTTCTTATAAGATGAAATTTTGTAAATATAATCTACATGAAATGTCAAAATATGTCTATCTAAATAAATACCTTTTGACACACGATGTGTGTTAATGTAGTGATTAAAATGTGAGTTTTTATATGTTAGCGACTGTACTAGTAACCTGTAACTTTAGTTACCGTGTAATTTATAATAATTGACAATGATTGTGTTTCATAATAACCTTAGTCAAATTATTGTCTATTAATTTTATTTTGAAAAAAACTCGTATTAATAATTCAAACAAACATGTATAGAAATTATACCAAAAAATTATAAAGTTGCAAAGTTCCAAAAATAATATATGATAAAAGTTTAATAATTATGAAATCAAAGATTAATAAATAATAACTAGTTTATATGTTAATATTACTTAAATGTGTTAGTAACAGTAAATAATCTGGAATTTAACTCTGCAATAAGGTAATGTATAATAAAAACTGTAAAACACATCAGCGTACCCACGACTCTATTTAAAGATCAGACACAATCACACAAATCATCATCAATAAGTTGGTGGTCTCTAATAATGCGTAAATTAAATTACACTTAGCTTCATAGACACGTATAGTAACTAATAATAATAATAATAATGTAAGAATAATGACATACTCTGAATATATAATGGGCCGGGTGACTTGTGATATACTCCGTATTTATAATTTTATAGCTAGGATTATACCTTATTACAAGATTTGGGCCTACATACACCTGAAGTATAAATCATGTTTACAAAAATCAATTTAAAATCAATTCAGACGTCAACAAAATAAATTATTGAAAACATACTGCGCAAAAATACATACGTAGTATATAAAATGCAGTATTTTCTTAAAAATCTTTTTTTTTTCAGAAAAAAAATTATTTAATCGACTTGCTGATAGAAGTTTAAGCTGATTTTTTGTGGATATAATACTTCAACATAATCCATCCATACCCAAATAGGAAAATACTCCTTTCCTATATACGAAGTATTTACTTACATTTTACATTATTAGACTTAAAGAATAAAATAATAAAGTAATAAGGATAGGGAATGGTTCAGAACAATTGTAAAGCTTAGGAGAAAAATAATAAAATAGTATGAAGAGAAGAGTAAAAAGTAAAGAAATGTATATATTTATAGATGAAAAACATATAAAAAATATAAAAAGTTGCAAATAAAAAGACCATTCTGAAAAAGGAATATGTTATAAATAAATAAATAAATTAAATAAATAAGTAAATAAATAAATAAATAAATAAATGAGCTGCAACATGCAATTAAAAAATTCTTGTATAATTACTACGTATATAATAATGACATAATCATGCTTATGTCTCATTATATACTCTTGAAAAATTGCTCCTATATACGAATTATTAGGTATATTGATTTGATTTCCCGTGGATATTATTGACTTATTATTGTTAATTATGTAGCTAAATGAATTGAAAAAGAACTAACTTGTTCACATACTATTGGTTAACTCATCGAATTAGAAATGTATAATTAAGAGGGCCGCAGATTCGCTTATGCTTGCAAGCTAAGTATATGTAGTGTGCATCAATTATTTCTCTTTAGAGGCTGACCACGTACCTAATTAACGTTAGAATATCTAATCTCATGAAAACGTCCTATTTAATTCTTGCTTTTTAGTTAATGATATATGATTGCGATATTGCTTGGACTTTTTATGACCGACGCCTGGCCTGTTTGTTTAATATACTCATTATCCCTTTTTACACATATAACATATTAACATTGGATATATATATATATATATATATATATATATATATATATATATATATATATATATATATATATATATATATATATATATTAAAATACAAACCATATACTCCGTAATATAATTGGCTAGTCCCCTCATTAAATAATTACGGAGTATTATTTAATTATCAAAGGTGCATGTTATCTGGGTACTTTATTATTAATGCTTTCTTTATATATATACGGAGTTTTATTTGAAAACTCGACCGTTTAAGAGCCCATTTGGTGACCCCTTTTTCGGCTTATCAGGCTTATCAGCTAGTTTTTTTATCAAACACGTAACTTTTGATTTCGCGCGCAGAAGTTTGTAATAAGCAGAAAAAGTAAGGCTGTATTGGCTGAAGTTACTGTAGATGATCATTTTAGCTATTTTTCATATAATTTTTTATTTAATTTATTAACAACAAATATTTTAAATATAATTTTTTCATGAATCAGCAGAATCAGCCAATACAGTCACTTCAGCCAAAACTTCATAAATTTCAACAGATTCAGCTAATTCAGTCAATTTTAGTATTACCAAACGAGCTCTTAAATATATTATCGATCGATCCAAATAAACTGACACCAAACCATATTTGAATGACATTATGATGTTAAGTTTGTGAACTTCATTTATTGATCATACATTTAGCGTACCGTACATATCATATTGAAAATATTTTGGATATGAAAATTATATCAAAATGTTTCTTATTCAAAATATTTTCATAAAAGTATAAAATTTATAAATTATATACAAATACAATAATTAAAATCGATCATTAACCAAAATTTGTAGTCATTGATCAAGAATAGTCAATATGACGATTTACGCATCGAGTCTCATCAAGCTCCATATAATTAATCATTATCTATCCATTAAATACCGAGTATATACCTATATATGTATGTATGTACATGGAAATAATGTTTATGATATAGGGGAGTACATTTGTTTGTGATTATCTATGATGAAAGCTTGTTATCTATGACATTGAATTTTATGCATACAATTGTTTGTCAATTTTATTGTTACTTAAACAAACAAACAAAAACTGTCTCTCTAATTAAAATATTTAATTTGAAGTGTGTATTAAAATATGCCCAAACATTGTAGTTTAAACTATTCTTATTTAGGGAGTATTATTTAAGGGATGCTTTAACCGTCAATTTAAGTAAGTATAATACCCGTAGTATATATGGTTTAAAAAAAATGTAATGTTATTAATAGAGAGTGTATAAATTAGTTTTTTGTTCGGTTTTGTAAGATACTCTAATCTTTTTTTAATTGTCTATAAAATATGAAAACTTTCTTCGATTGAACTTATCTAGTGAATCACATTTTTACCATTTGAACTCATATTACTTTGTTGTGGACGCATGTTGTTTTTTGTTACATTTTTAGATTATTACAATGGTAAAATAACAATTGTATTTTTTACTACGTAGTACTCCGTATTAAATAAAAGAAAAAAATCCACTTTTGATCCAATGACTATTATACCACTTCCATATTTAGTCTCTTACTTTCAGATTGTTCACATTTAGTCCGTGACCATTGTCACCTCACCACCCTTCGTCCTTCCGGCCAAAATTCCGGCAAATTTAGTCCACTTCTCAGCCTCAGAATCAGTCTTTGTAATGTTTATATTGTGAGTTAGACGGAGTACTTCGTATCTAGCATTATCTACCATGTAATGGTAATGAATAATGTAAAAAAGTAGGATATATAATGGAAAAGTATAAAATACTAGTATAAGATAAAAAGTAATGTAAATAAGAGTGATCAAGTATTTTTTAAGAGAAAATTGCAACAAATGAAAAATACGTGGGATCTATTAAGATGACAAAGGAAAAATTTTCTAAATGAGAGTAAAATATACTACGTACGAAGTAGTGAAGTACTACATACTAGTGAAATATGATCACACTTTCTTAATAAAAATATGGAGTAGGATCTTCACTCGTAAATAAGAAACTCAATTTTTTAATTTTTTTATTTTGAGTTAGAAATAAATAAATCTTGTGGCTAATTTTATTAATGAACTTTATCTACGGAGTATATTTTATTTTTGATTTGTGTTCTACTACGTATAAATAAACTTACTGACCCGAGACAAGAGGCAAATCAATGACTGCATATGATTTCTCCCGACAGAGTCTCCGACAAAGGCCAAAGACTTGTTCCTCACCATATCCAAGAACCGGTACGGCTCAAACACCGGCAAATCGCAGCCGTCCGGCTGCCACCTCCACTTCATGAACCCCTCATCGGGCCGCCCGTACTTCATGCAGTTCTGGTGCTCGTGGATCGCCCAGCACGTGGCGTTCGTGTAATACGGAGCCTCCGGATTCGGAACCCATTCCCCGGCGAAGACGTCGCACTCGCCGCCGCCTTCGACTTCCGTCACCTTCATCACGGGATCCTCAACTCCCTCTCCGGCACCGGCATGGCGGCGAAAGAAAGGATCCCATGTTGTTGCCGATAAAATTAACAATAATAAGGTTAAGGCTACAAATGATTTTGCAACTATTCTGGGATTGGACATTTTTGTAGCGTGGGGCTAATTAATGGTGTATATTCCGCAAATGAATCGAGCTCATGTACTTATATGCATGGAATAATACTACTCCACGCGTTAGTACTTCTCCCGTTCTTAAATAAATGCAACAATCAACTTCTCACTTTTGTCAATGTACAATTTTAACCATTAATATATACTACGTATTATTCTCTATTAGTAAAAAAAATTGAAAAAAATCAGATTTAATACTTAGTAGTATTTTTAAAAATAATTTATTAAAACATCAATAAATAAAGTGTAGTCAAAGTACAATATGTGAATAATGTAAAATTCAACATGTTGCATTCGTGCAAGAATGGAGGAAGTATATAAGAAGTTATAATACGTAATGGACTATGCAATTATGCATGTAGTGCATTGTTCTAAAAGGCGGCAAAAGGCGGGGCCTATGGGCACCTAGGCGTGGAAAGACGGTCAACTCAAAAGTTGACCACCAAAGGCGTGAAAAGGCGTAGCCTACGTGTGCTTAGACGTGAAAAAGGCGAAAGTTTTTTATATGAAAGTTTTTTATATGAAAAATTCGGCAATAAGACTAAAACTACAACACTTTCTCAAAATATGACTCAAAAACTCAATAGTCAACATTATGACTACCAGTTACTGTTCATGGACTGCGATCAATTTAAAACAAACCAAAATGACCTCATTACTCTGACATTTATGTCTGCCGAACAGTTTCAACCAAAAAGGAAGTATACTATGAAACGGAAGCCAAGCAATTTTTAAGCGCGTGATACTCAAAATTTAATGAAGACAACGGGCAAAAGGTGCGACGATCCGCGGAAGTGGACGGAGAAGTGAAACGAACAAAGGAATGGCGAAGAAAGGGGATGGAGGAGCGGTGGACGCAATGAAGACAACGGGAAAAAGGTCTTCAGTGACGGCTGTCAACATCATTACAGTGAACGACGTGGTAAGTGGTCAAACAATTGATTTAAGGCTGTGCATGTGGTTAGGATTCCATCATCGGGAAAATAAGGGGCTGTATTAGGGCAGTAAGAGGGCAGATGTAATAGTTGTGGAACCTTTAATAGTAGACATTGGTCTGCAATGTTGGAAGACGTAGGGCAGTAGTTTAACTTGGGTACAACGGATGCACATTGAGTTGGATAAGAGTGAATTTGGGCAACAAATAACCCCAATTATTGAGATTTTTGAGTAAGAGCAGTAATTAAAGCATGACCTAGATGAAAAAGTGGCATTCAGGTGCTTGAGAATATATAGGACAATATAACAAATACATATGTATTAAGTTAATCAAAAAATATGAGCTAAGATCTGTGTAGATGGTTAGGAGTTCATGGGTGTTGAAATAATGCCAAAGTAGATTTAAGCATGTGAGGGCATTAACTGGCCTCATAAAGAGGAAGGGTAGTAAGTAAACTAGGCTTTAACTGAGCACAAGCATTACATATTGACATTACTGAGTATATGTATTTTAATAAGGGTCATGTGTTATACAAACCAGTAGTTATGGTGAACAATATTCTATCTGTGTGACCACATGTACTTTGAAGGAATATGAGCGAAAGTGTGATAGTGATGCGGTGGCATTGAAAAATGAAAAGTTGAAGATTAATAGTTATTGTAATCCATATGAGGCATTGAAGAACCTTAAAGAGAATCTAAGTGATGTTGATCTGCTGGAGTTTAGAAAAACATCATTTGGATACTTTCTAGACATAAGCAACATCTAGTGGATCAATGGCCAATTGCTAATAATGTTAATGGCTAATTATGTTGAGAAAGTTGAGCCCATTCAAGAAAATAGGAAAATAGAGTTCGTCATAGGGGGGAAACTAGTAAGCATGAAGAACACAGATTTGACCCTTATTACAGGAATTAGTTTTGGGAAGAAAAAATGTCATACAAACAACACTGTTGGAGACATATGGAGTATGAACTTCCCTCATAAAGACAGTGTTGAAAGGGGTAAGATTAAACAGGCATTTCAGTGCGTGAAATTAAAAAAAAAGTGGGAAGATGCCATTAGATGTCGTCAAGCTTGCATTGTTGCATATCTTAGGGAGCTATGTTTTAGGAAACCAATGCCGTAAAGCTTGCCACTAGATCCTTCACAAATGCCTGCTGCAGATTTGATTAAAAAACATTAGAATTCATGCATTCCGCATTACTAAAAAATCATAAAAAGAGCAACGATAGAAAATACAAGATGGAGTATGAGAAGGTAACTGTGACAAGCCTGATAGGAGAATGGGGGGATGCAAGCATTGATAGGAAGTCATGGTACTATGCCCTATACTTCCCAGGGAACTGGTTGAGTGACTTGGTAAGTACATATTAGTTAATTAAAAATTAATATAGTAATTCGGGATGAATGAGTACGTACATATGAGGTATTATTACTTGACTATGATTAATAAAGTGAATGTAATGCTGATTTTTTTTGAAGCATGTGGAGATGGGCATGTATTTCTTAAGGATGAAAGCTGAACAATACAAGTTGAAGCAAAAGTTCACGAAAGCGGGCACGATGTTTATGCATTTGTTGAAATAGAATTACGATACACACATTATCAATGCAATGACAGTGGCAGACACTGCTTTAAACAGGAATATAATGGGTATCATACTTGGGACACGTTTGGACTACGCATTGTCGTGGACACAAGCGGACATTGTGTACATGCCGCTAAATAATGGTAACACTGGATCCTTTTGGTACTGGACATAAGTGGAAAATGCATATGGGTGTATGATTCTAGCGTTCGGCGAAGTGAAACAAACATCCACCTTCACCATTATCAACCGTGCATGCAAATGTTTGTACCTAAAGTGATGGATAAGCTAGGAGTGTACAATGAGCGAAGTGAGGGTCCCGTGGGTGAAGACTTCTTGCAAATACATATGGTGAAGGAATGCCCATAACAAAATGACAGGTATGTAATTAACGATTACAGTAAATATGCAAGTGTTATAATACCAAATGAGTGTTAAATCAGGAAGTGATCATTTTGTTTATTGGTGAACAATGACAGTTGTGGAATGTTTGTTTTAAAGATGGACGGGTATTTGATGATGGATAAATATGTTGAGTACGTGAGACCAGAAGATATGAATGCATACCGGATCAAGATGACTACAAAGCTGCTAGTACATTTCGGTGTGATAGAGAGGCTTAGGATTGAAAAACTAATGACCCAAGAATTTTATGTTATGATTATAGTGTTGTAATGTATTGTTTTGGAATGGTAGATCTTATTTAGAACAATTTAAATCTTAGAGGTTGCATGGGAATTTTATAATTACAATGATTTTGTGCTTAGTGTTCCGTGAGGACAGTAAGTCTAGTTTGCAACACATTGCATGAAATTGAGGCAGTAATGAATCATTCATGAATCATTTGTATTATTTTGAGGCAAATTATTTTGTATGGTTAACATGGATCATTCATTAATCGAGTGCAATAAAGGAAAATGATTTATGGGTCCATATATGTAAGAGACCCATTGCTGATGTGATTTTGAGATATAATTAATGCCTTTAAGGCAGTACAATAACAAATGGATACTCATTCTCAGAAAAGTGACACACTTACATAATTAATTTATCAGAAAATTAATACATAATAACGAAATTAGGGCATTAAATTAACAATGAATAACGAAGTGCCATTCAATAGCAAAATTTTTACGGCAATGTAAAAGTACGACAAATGTATGGAAATGTTCAGAAACCTAACAAGTGTCTGCTAACTGTATTCGCAACAATATTAAAATGAAAACGGCAAATAAAAACACTTTTTAACGCATGTGTAGCGGAATAGGATTTCTACAAGTCTTTCTATTATGTCCAACCATGAGACAACGAGTGCATGTTTGTCTCCGAACATGTTCTCTTGTAGAAGGAATTCTTCTTTTTTTCGGGCTTCCAGGAGGTCGTGATTTACATGATGGGGGGGGGGGCAGCAAGTGAGTTGCTTAACATGTGAAGGTACCATCCAAGTATCCAGACTCCCAATAGGATGAATAATACCGCAATATATTTGTGCCCAATGATGTGCTGTATAGAATTCTGAAATGTAATCGTAATCATAGCAAGAAAGTCTTGGGCGGGAGCGAATAGCTGCAATGGAATGTACACATAAAAACCCATTAAGCTGAAATTCTCGACAAGTGCACATGTGCTCCTTCAAGTTGACAACATAAGAGCGGGATCTCTTATCAAACACCTCAAACTCAAAAGCACATGATAGTTTGACCTGCGCAATTTATTATTAAACATTAAAAAGTATAATTATATATTTAGTACAGTAAAAGTAATTGAATAATGCATAAAGTTAGGATATCTTTTAAAAATGCAGTGCAATGAAGACAATGAGTTGAGGGCAATACTCTCATGACGGCTGCCATAGCTTATAAAACTGCTAGTTCAGATTCAAAGTGTGCAGATAAACGACAATTGTTTGACGCTGAAGATTCTCACCGTTCACAAAACCACTTTTGCATTCGTGCAATAATAAACTCTATCAACTTACCTATTGGGTATTCTCGGGCACTGGCGTTAACTGCATTTAATGACTCCGCATTGTTTGACATCATGACCAAGTACCGATTTCGACTAGCATAAGACGAGACCATTTGTCATGGCCCAGCTGCTCTAAATACGTACAAATGCGTGGATCCTCAATGTCAAGCATTTGAAGGTACTCTTCACACTCATACACAGATCCAACACGAGCAACCTGCAAAAACTTCCATGACACAGTTTTTTGAGAGCCACGAAATCTAGTTTTCAAATTAGCCAATATGTGGTAAACACAGTAACCATGCTCCACAAGAGGAAATACAGAACACACAGAACTAATAATGTCCTCGTGCCGATCAGAAACAATATATGGATCATCCCTATGCATTAGCGAATGCTTCAACTTGCGGAAGGACCATGCATGACCAATTTTCAGTATTTTCTCCACTACAAATACCAAATGCCAGTGGAAATATTTGTTTGTTTGCATCTTGTGTACATGTAGTGAGTACTGTACCCTTATAATACGACTTCAAAAAAGATCCATCCACAACTATAACCGGAATGAAATGAATCCAACATTCCCTCCATGCAGAAAGGCACATGAAAAAACTATTAAATTCACCATTTTCTTTGCACGAATAAGAAACAATAGAACCTGGGTTACTCCTTTGAAGCACATGACACATTGAAGGTAACCATGCATATGAATCTCTTTCAGATCCCATAGCCAGTTCCATTTCCAATTCTTTGGCAATCCATGCCCTTTTGTATGACATGTAAATGCCATATTTGGTCTGCATATCAAGCATCACTGATTACGGAGGGTATGGCTTATTGGATGGATCAACGTACTCATGCTGCTTGATAAGTTCAACAATAATCCTAGGCATAGCCTGACGACTATTTCATTGGCGTACATCAATGGGGCATGTGTGCTCAGAGTCAAATTTGGGAAGAAATGGATAATGAAAGGCAATACCTTTTGGACAGTACAATGGATAGTAATTTAATGCACATTGTTCGAAATAAAAATAAACAAAAAGTGAATGCATATGTAATAGGAAATAAAAAATGTATGACGACATTAAAAAACAGAACGAATAAAAATAATCAAAAAAGTGAATGCAGACGCAAACAAAACTTAATACAAAATCCAGGGCATTATAACAGTTGCACATAGAGCATTAAAAGATAGAGAAATTTATCACGGATGTCGTATTTTCCCTAAAAGATATGCCCACATTATAATACTGATTTTATTTTCCTTAAATCATTTTTTTAAAATAACAAAACAGTGACCCCATACACATAGGGCAGTGGAAAAAGAATTATGAAATACATTAACATGCAAACAAAAAGCTTAATGCAAAAGGCAGGACATTATAGTAGTTGCACATAGGGCATTAAACTATATGCCAGTGGTATAATACTGCTTTTGTTATCCTTAAATCATTTTTTAATAACAAAACCGTATCCACATACACATAGGACAGTGGAAAAAGAATTACGAGATACATTAACATGCAAACAATTGAAACAAAACTTAATGCAAAAGTCAGGGCATTATAACAGTTGCACATAGGGCATTTAAATATACGCCCAAATTATAATAGTGATTTCATTTTCCTTAAATCATTTCATTTTAAAATAACCAAACAGTGACCCCATAAAAGAACGTCGTAGGCCATTAAATTTATATGTCATTGTCAATGCACAATTAATTTTTTGTACATAATATTACGTAGGGCAGTAATAGACATGCATGTCACGTAAATTCAAAGAAATGAATGCATACCTTTTGACCTGGAGCAATGGGACTCCGTCGATGAGCACACCACGCACAACCCACTTGCAATCGGGGTCAACACACACAACATGCAAAACCTTCGGGGGCAAGATGTCTTCGTTCTATACTGAAAGAAGTTGGTAATGGCATACATCATTAAGTGAAAATCAAGTTCCTTCTTACTTCCAAAGATGCTATGCAATGCAAGTGGGTTCAGAATGGTTGGCTATAGGCATATTATGAATCTCTTCACCAACCACCAACCAGAGAATTTAACCTCATAATTTCAGCACTCGAAATATGGTCAAATTCAAAGTCCATATCAACATTGTGACTGAAATTATTGTCTTCGTCACTAAACCCACCACGCTCTTCCAGATTACTTGTGTGGTTAATTCCACTTTCATCGTGAATATCATCACATAATGTGATGCTTTGTTCCTCTCCAGTCGTAGGAGCAACCTCCTCACCAGATACAAATTCAACACACAACGGCATTTGCATCGGATCCTTTTGAAAACTCTTCAATTATAGATAAAAGAGTAGACTAATGTCATCACATACACTCACAGGAGGTGAGCACACATAAAAAACGTATGGGATCTTAATATTCTTCCTGTCATGATTTTCACCCATTGCAGCGCAAACACGAGAATATAGAGAATCATACGTACAATTTGATGGTATAGTTAAGCCAACAACATGAACACTAGAAAACAAAGTATTTTAGATCCATTGACCATCATATTTAATCATAATCCACATTTCCGGGTAACCTACGGGGATGGAGTCCATGGATAATGCTTCAGTACAAAACTTACGGTGAAATGGTAGAGGTCCGTGGAAGAAGAATGTCGAATAATTGGGGTAGGAATAAATAAAATGAATATACTTACCTTCTATTAATTATTTCCTTATTTTTATGATACTCTATCTATTAATCCGTCAGTTATGCACAAGTAAGTTATATGATGAAATAATTACATAAATATGACCAAAATAAAGATGATTTACAAAAGTATGACTAATGAGTAGAGTGTTGGGTGTGTCTCGAAAAAACGAAGAAATATTAATTAATAAAAATAATTAATTAACTAATAAAATAGCTAAAGCAAAATAGAAATAAGATGGAGCAGATTTTAGCCAGAGCTCGTGCTATGCACGATGTCCTTAAAACGTATTCGTCGCCTCCCACGGTGCTAGGAGCGTTGCAACGACCGTTTCCCAGGATACGGTGGCTAACGAACGATCGTTTGAGCACACAAACGAAAGTCCCGGCGAACTGGAATAATAGCAGAACACTAGGGAAATTTGGGAGTAGCTGGAAGTGTTTTGAGCTCAATAAAACGTGAGGAATGTATTGTGCGATGTGTCTTGTTGCAAACCACCTGCCAGCCTTTTATAGGAGGATTTGTTGTGTGTTAAATGGGGTGTTAATGGACCTGAACGTTGGATATGAATGACCAGTCCGTTGGGCATTGAATCGTCCATAAACTGTCCATTTAACGCAGCATTAAAAGAGAAGAACGTTGGGCATTTAGTGCTGTAACGGACCAGAAGTCCTTCTGTTGCGAACAGAAGGCCAGCTTGGAAAAAATAAAGGAACGTTACGGGACAACATTCGTGTCCGCAGGTCGCCCGCACACGAGTCGCAGTTTTTCTTCTCCATTTCGGGATTTGATCGGCACCCCCTGCACGTAAGAGAGAGCCTTTACCTTTAGGAATCTTAACTCCTTAAAAAAGGTTTCCCTTTATAAGGGGGTGAAAATCCCTTGAGTTTTCCGGTGTGGGATAAAACACACTAGAAACCCATCATTTTCCCAGTTTTTCCATTTCAACGAGTGAACTTCGAGAATCAATTTCTCATTCACCCGTTATCCGTTTTGAGCGTACCATATATCGAATTGTAGCCCTTAACAAGGACAATCCGAAACCACTTTAACCCGACCCAAATCGGAAGTGGACCCCACTGAAATAATTGCCCTAAATGACCATTTAATACAATTTTTAACACATTTTTCCAACATAGAGTAGCAATGAAATTATAGTAATTCATGTTCAAGTTTTGAACTTAAGTTACCACAACACCACATTGTAGTAATCAATAGTCATATTTATGTAAATATGTTTTATTTTAGTAATATTCTTGTAAAAACCATTATATGATTACGACGGTTATGCTATATCCATGATACATGATATGTTGCGTTTGAAATTTAGTATAGGATGAAGAAAGCAAGTAATTAATTAATTAGGAGGACACTGTTGGTATTAAAATTTCACTTAAAACACGCGTGCATGTCATGATCATGTGCGGTCATAGATTAGGAAAATTAATCAACTAGTCATAGAATGGGAACTACATCATGTGTTAGTGATATCCGTGATAAATTTCTCAATAAAAAACTGATTAAATTTAAATGGTTTTGTCCAACTTATATATAGTGATAGCCTCTGCAAGTACCCGGGACAGAGCCCCACTCTCTATCTGTCAGATTGGGATTATAGTCCAACTTACATCCTCCCGATGTACCGTCCGGTCAAGGTTGGGGGCCCTGAGAGATGGGGTGTCATCCTTTTTTAATAACAAAATAAAACGCATAACTAAAGTAAGCCAAGAGAAAGATAACTTGTGATAGCAGCTCCACACATGATATGCTAGCTTCCCTTTCCAATAGTGGTCCAAGTATAACTGACCTGTTCCCCATTGTTTGGATTGGTTAGACTTGCCTCGCCCTAAACAGATCCTTGCATTTTCCACAGTCGAGGCCATCATCCCAAGGATATCTACAGGTGCAAACTTTAAATGGAACACTCGCTGAAAACCTCCATTGACTCTCTCCCTCTTGAAGTGAACCTTTGTGGCGAGCTCTTCTCATTACACACTACGACCAACTCCGGTCAGCCGGCCTTCGAAACACAGAAAATAGTCCCTGCAATCCCCTAGTTTTTCGAGCGAGATCTCGTTGGCCATGGTTGCCACTCTGTCGCAATCCAATACAGATTAGACCCTAGAACCCGAGCAAATTCCTTCCTAGTCAATGAAAAAACAAACCAGGCATTTTTTTGTTCAAGCAATGTCTCTCTGCCTAGCATCGCGCTGCCGCCCAAAAACAGACCATGGACAAGGCCTTCTCGTCCGCTTTTCCCTAAAAATTCTTGTTATTCACATCATGAAAATGAAACAATTATGCCATTTTAATTAAAATGAACACTAGATTGGCAAATTCTTTCAATTGTTGGGATTAATTAATTAATCTTAATTAGTTTACTTCCTAGGGAACATAAATTATCTTTCCCTACTTTTATTGGAAAGATGAAAGGTCTTCTTGGAAAGGTAAATTGTATTTCCTAGGGATTATTTTACTCCTCTTGTAATGCCTATATAAGGCCACCAATTGTAATGTTTTATCAAGTGGAATATAATACATTCTCCTCCATTCCTTTGAGTTGTAAGTTAGCCAAATACTTAGAATATTTTCGGATATTTGGGGCCTTCAAATTGGTATCAGAGCCACTGTTGAAGAAGAAGATGACAGCCACCATGTTCGGCCAACTACCTCAATTGAAGAAAGCAAACTTCGACCGATGGAATGCTCAAATGAGAGCACTGTTGAAGTCACAAGGAGTATGGGATGTTGTCGATAATGGCTACACAACACCGGAGGAAGGAACCGTCTTGACGGTTGCCCAACAAGTGGAACTCGAAGGAGCACAAAAGAAGGACCAAACGGCACTGTTTTGGTTGCTTCAAGCAGTGGATGACACCATCCACGAGAAGATAGCCGATGCCGAAACTTCAAAAGAAGCTTGGGACATCATCGAAAGAGTATTCAAAGGAGGGGAAAGAGTAAAGCAAGTGAGGTTGCAAACTCTACGAGGAGAGTTGGAGACTATGCGGATGAAAGAGAACGAGAAGGTCACCGAGTACATTAATCGGGTGATGACCATAGCAAACCATATGAAGAGAAATGGTGAAACCGTAAGTGAGAGTCGGATAGTAGAAAAAATTCTACGAACACTTACGG